GTTTTTAATCTGCTGCATGGAATGGCTTTGCCATGTGCTAGCACCAACTTTATGATGGGTAGAGGTCTCAATATCAAGGAACAAGCCTTTGGACTTTCTGCCATAGCCTGACCTTGTTGTGCTCCTGCAGGCTTCTGACACCTAAAACAAGAACAGAGTGTCAGATCATGAGAGAAAAAAAAAGTACAAGTAAGGGACCTCAGGTCATAAACACCTTCAGAAGGGAAGGAGGAACATGACCTCTGTGTGGGGTAAAACATACCATAAAGGTAGAAAATGGGCTTAATGACCTCCTTATGCCTTATTCTTGCTGACTAAAGAAACCTGAGTTTGATGAGGCAGCACCTTTTATGTGGCCACTGGATTATGGGAAAAATAAAGTTCTTAGAGGATGAAGTTTGTGGCTGTATTAAGACTGCAATAGCTTTGTGCAGTCAAGTCAGAATATCTTGTAACAATAGATGGCCCTCAAAGTTTCTTGCATGGTTTTTCCCCTCTAGGAAATTCATCTCCAGAAACAGTTTATCTCCCAAGATCTTTAGAGGCATCCAGAACAAAGAAGAAGAGTTATTTACACCCCATCCCTGGAAGTGTTGGACAGGGCTTGGAGCAACCTGGTCTAGTAGGAGGTGTCCTTGCCCACAGCAGGGCTTTGGAACAAAATAATTTCCAGAGTCCCATCCAACCAAAGCTGTCTTATGATTCTATGATTCTATAAAGTGCCATAACCAAAAGTGAAGAAAAAAGAAAAAAATTTCTCTAGATGTACGTGGTAAAGGGTAGGAAGGGTCTGCTTTGCCTCTAGCTTCTGCTATTTCTTTCAGTTTTTCCTTTTAAAAATATTACCATCAAGAAGAGGCACCCCAGCTGCATTCTTGTTTAGTTCACAACTTGGATGTTAAATGCCAACATTTTCACAGGGATGATAAAGCTGAGAAGTGTTTCCTGCTGGTGTCTGCGGAGATGGATGGGACCAGGAGCACTGCTCTGCAGAGGCCATGAGCAGGTGGAAGGGCTGAGCAATACTTCGGGGGGAATAAATCATTCCATGCATTCCCAGCCCTCAGGGGGAGGGCTGTGTCACTGCCACAGTGTGCTCCTGGGAGCACCTCTGTAGTTTCCATGCGTGATAGGGATGCCCACACCTGTAAGAAACCAAAAGAAACAAGAAAAATAAGGAAACAGAAATTCAACAGGGCCCCTTACTGTGTTCAGAAGTACATCTCACCTTTCTTGTGAGGCCCACCTGGCTGCAGTCCCCCTCCTACCAGATATCCTCCAGAATCTCCGCTAATGCAATATACATTTTCTGTGTAAAAGCATAGGAAACAGACACTGTGGATCCAGCCTGAATTCCCTAAAAAAAATGAGGAGAAATTTTGAGGGGCAAGACCCTGGTAGACTATCTATGTTTGCCTGTGGGTGTACCTAGGGACAACCAGGGAAGGCACTGTTAATCGTAGTTATAAAAAATAATTTTTTGTCGATTTAAAGTCTTCTCAGACTAGCCAGATCATAACAACTTATTTTGTCCCATTATTACATTGGTCTCTAAAATTGAAGTGACCTAATTATGGGTGGGAATTAGCAAAAATTAAAATTGTTACATGCCAGTCTCTCAAAGCTGCACCATGCTTTGGTGATACTGTTTCATCCTGTGCAACATTATGGGAGGCCATCAGCTTCCTAAATCCTTTACCTGGAGAGGGAGGGTGATGATGACAGTAGTGTGTGCCGGGGGCAGGGAGGGAATGGTCTTCCTCTATGGCCTTGAGCTTGGTGAGAATGAATTCTGTGTGTCAACATCAGATTTCAGTATTTCTTAATAGGTTACAGTCTTTACTGTTTGTCCACGATTCGTTCTTATAAAATGCTATTTATTTTAAGGGGAAAACCCATGCAATTGGACTAAATAATGCATATCTTAAACTAATGCTTGGAAATATGAGCTAAAGCAAGCCCCAAACCACAGAGGAGCAGGAGGCATTTGAACACTCAGTTATTTGGCTGTCACAGCTAGGAGAGGCAAGGCAACAGATCTCTGCTCCTTGGGAAAGTCGTAGGCACAGGAAAGGCTCTTAAATATACAGTTCAAAATCATCCCAGAGCAGCTGAGTGTGTGTTTTAGGAGTCCTACCACACTGGTAAAGTGGTCTCAGCAATCCAGTCCTTCCCCAGCCATCACCTTCCCATGATGGGAAGGGCCATGAATCAGCATTGCCTCAAATGAGGAGCATTTAGTCAGAGGAAAACAGAGAAATGTGGCCTAAATTCTGTTGTTGTTACATAAACCCCCTCACAGAACATCTGGAGAACATCTGAAGCTTAATAAAGCACGCCTGCAGACAGAGGCATTTTGACCTTCCCTGTAATGGAAGCACAAAAATTGAGACTGAAAAGAGGGGAGTGAATATCACCAGAAATGGAAGACAAATTAAGTCCAGCATTTCGGGGCCAGCTCTGTCCCAGACACCTGACAGGGCTTCCACAGTCCTACCTGAGCAGTGCACAACAGTAGGGAGAGACAAGGCAACACTGCTACATACAAGCTGCTGGGCACTTAGGAAAAATTCCTGCTGGTCCCTGTCTCCTGGGAAAGCCAACTTGCCGCCTGGTTCTGGTTAAAATTGTGATTCTTCTGGGCAAATTAGGATTTAAAGGGAACATTTAGATTTTTCTCTGGATGACATGGTGAAATGATGGGGAAAGCTGACAAACACTCAAGAACCGAGGCTCAGAACCTGGCATTTTTCGCTGGTTTGGGATCTTCTTTTCCTTTCTGCAGAGGTAAAATGCTAGGGCAGGGTTAGGAGTGGAGGGGGAAATGAACAGAAAAAGGAAATATCCCTCCTGCCACCAACCATTTTTAGCAAAAAGCTGTAAACCAGCCCAAAGACAGGGAGATCTTTCCCCAGGTTCCTTGTTCATCCCTGCATTGCATATGGCCCAGGTGGGATGTGAGTGGGAACATACAGCAGGGGGTGGGCAGAAGTCCCATTTTCCCACCCCTTCCTGCTGTCAGCAGCCCATCCTGCGGGCTGGGCATCCCTAGCCACAAATGTGTAGCCTAAGGGCTTGTCCCTAACATGTTCCTCCATGCCTGACTCATACCAGGGACTGTGGCAAGCCATTAATAGGTACTTCTTGAGCTGTAACAAAACCTGCCTTTCTTAGAGCAAATGTGAAGGCATTTTTTCCTGACTTTCCATGGAGAGGAGAGCAGGACATCTGACAAAAACAGCTGCCACCCACAGAGCCACCCCAGAGCTGCTCGTCAGACTTTCCAGCTGTGAGTGAGGTGTCACCAGCGCTCCAGGAGGCAGCATGACTAAGAGGAGGACATGAGACAATGTCCTATTGAATGTCCCCACTGCCTGGGGAACAAGTCACTTTGCAGGAATCCACAGTGAAAAGCTGTGACAAGCCCCAGGGCACAGAGGTGTGGTGTCCCAAGGAGCTTTTAGAGGTCTCTTAGGATGTAAAATCAAGATCTGGGAGGGAGGAAGTCAAGTCAGACAAACACCCAAAGAGATTGTGGAAAACAATTTATTTGACAAATTTCCAAAGTGGACAATTTTAGTAAAACACAGGCATAAAATAAAACTAACTGGTACAATGGGGTTTTAGATATAAAGTAAAGAGTTTGGGGTCCTGATACCTGGCAGTCACTGTTGGTTTCTCTGAAGTGCATGAATTCATAGCAAGAGCACCAGTGGAAGTGCTGAAACAATATCTCACCCAGCCAAACCACATTTTCAGTGTGGTCCCGGAAACAACTGTGTAAACACCAAGGGTCCACATCACCCACATAAGTGATAGCACCTTTGTCAATATATCTTAGAGTGTGAGTCAAAGACCCTGGGAGATGATGGCAGCCTTTCACTTGACTTCTCTGGGCTGAGGATGAGGCCTTAATTCAATACATAGTGCAGTTAGTGGGTTTCCCTAGGGCCCAGGTGCCTCACTCCTAGGTGGTCCTATACAAACAGTACTCCAAGAGAGCTTCCTGGGAATAAGTCAGCTTCACTCTTTTAAAATAAAATAAAATAAAAATTAAAAATTAAAAAAAAAATCCCACTAATTGGGCTCAGAGAGATTTTCCAGAATGGAGCTTGACCAATAAACAAGTTATCAGGTTATTCATGAGGTTCCTGATTTCACTGTAGGACCATGAGATCATTAAGTGAAGGAGTGCAGTTATGTTGCTTCTTTTAAGGGTTTCCCCCCTCCTGAAAGGCTGCTGCCCATCTTTCCTTTGGTTGGTGTGTAGCCTCCCTGCCCTGAATGGGAGCATCAGTTCTGAGGGATGATCCACCACCCACCTCTATCCCAGCCCTGGGAAGTGAGTGTCCCATGCCCTGGCTCTGGAGGCCAGACATGCTTGCACACAGCTTGGGTAGTGCAGTCCAGCCCTCCCTCCTCCCCAGGCATGGGAGATATGAACCAAACTTGCCAGCTGTGATAACGATCCCCTCTCAAAGCTTGCTGAAGTGTGAATATTTCACTCAAAGCACAGCATTAGGTTAGGATTATGATGAGCTGGGCAAGTGCTCAACTGATATGTGAAAGAGAGAAGGAAATGGAAAAAAACAAAAAAAGGTAGCTAAAAAGAGAATAATCAGCCTTAAGAGACCAGGCTAGATCTTAGTGGTACAAAAGCCCTCATCCTGATTCTTGGCAGAAACACAGTGGGATGAGGTTGGTATTTGTGTTCTGATGGCTTATTGCTAGGTGTGCTTGTGTTTTCCTGCTGTGGGGAGGGAAGGCAGTCATGGGCAGCAAGGAAATTTGAGGCTAACAGAGTAGAGACACAGATGATGAAGCAGAGAGAGAAGGGAAGGGACTATGTACAGCCAGGCTGTGGCACTATGGTTATCTGCATAGATGTAAATTCCTCAGGTTGGTCAAGAATAAGGTTAATTTTTTTTTTTGCTTTGTTGGTTTTCCTTTTTAGGTGAGACAGAAGCAGCTATGGCCTTGACAGAAACCCACCCAGATGCTCAGTCAACAGCTATCTTCCTGGACACAGTTTGGTAGAAGACACCACGCAGCAGAGAGGTGTAATCAGGCACACGGAAAAGGTGCCGCTCCCCATAAACCACATCGTAATCTGCACTCTTCCCTGTGACCAGGACACGAATGTTGGGCTCATTGGCTTGGCTTCCCACTGCCAGCACATAGATCTCAATGTCAGCCTTCTGTGCGTCCTGCACAGCCCTCTCAATGGCCCTGGCGGTGATCCCTTGGGAGTGTCCGTCAGAAAACACCAGCACCCTCTTCTTGGCCGCAGCGCGGGCAGAACGCCGGTACAGCTCTGTGATGAACTGCAGAGCAGAATTCACGTCCGTGGCATCATTCATGAACTCCATGTTGTCAATGGCCTTGGCAATAACTGTGTAGTTGTACTGGAACTGAGTTTCCACTTTCTGCTGGTTCCGGCCACTGTACTGCACCACCGAGATGCGCACGGAGTCGTCGGTGGGCTTGCTGGCCTCCAGAAACCGCCCTGCCAGCCGCTTCACAAACTTCTTGGTGGTCTCGAAGTTCTTGCTCCCCACGCTGGTGGAGCTGTCCACCAGCAGCGTGATGTCGGCTGGCCCGGTGAAGGTGACTGCAAGGGGAAAGGTCCAGGGCTTGTTACACTTTGGCTGTTCCATGGAAAGCCAATGAAGTCACTGGCTTGTCTCACAGGCTTCCTGTCTTGTCAGACTTGGGAAATCTCCATTCGTGCTAGCTTTCTTTCCCCTGCCCCAGTGCTATCCTATGCTTGTCCTTTCACCCATTCATTCCTTCTTTTATTTGGTTTAGGATAGGCTGTAGATGTTTATTTGCCTGAGAAAATCTAGTGACTCTTGTTTAAACACAGTGGCTCTCCTTGTGTGTCTGGGGAACCACTTCATCCTCCTCACTTCCCTTCTTTCCATGGAAATTCTGAGGACTGATTACGCTCCTTTAAATGGAGGTGGACTCCATTAAAACCGTCCCTGTTCTCACTTTTCAAGCACCTTTCTCCAATATCCCTGCCACAGAACTAATTATGCTCATGCTTCCACTACTAGAGAGTAGGAGCAGACAGTGAAGTCAGTTGCTAAAACCTGGGAGGGTTGCGATCTTTCACAGCCTCCTCTCTAGGTTTGAGATGCCAGAGAAACAACCATCAACGCTTTTCCCCAGCTGCTTTGGGCTGGTATGTGTGTGTGAGAGACCCTGAGAGTGTCTGACAGATCTTGCTCACCTCTCCAGACCAGGAGCATCCCCATTGCAAGAGGTGGCCGAGCTGTGCATCCCCACAAACAAAAGCTCCCACTTCCCCCATCACACCACCCACAGCCCCTCAGCGTGGCATGAGGAGTCAATACTCACTTGGGCAGGTGTAGTCAGGACATTTTTTCTCTGTTAAGAATATAAGAGAGATTAATGTCACCAGCTGGCCCAGAAAAACCACTTGTCCCCAGACCCACAGAAGGGACAAAAGGTCCCCTCCAGAAGGTGAACACCCACCTTTGCCACCTGTGCAAAGGCTATAAACATGCATGAAAAATGGTGTGGACAGACATGTCCTGCAGCAGATGAGGATGGGGACCTGACCACAAAGTATTCTGAGATACAAGATACCCTTGTCTCGGCTTAAGAGCATGACTGAGGGGACGCAAGGGAGAGCATCCTGCATCCCTCACCACCTATCCCATTGACTCCAGCCACTGCCTTTCATCCACCTTGGCAGATGTACGACGTGATGTTCTGCAAGAAGGTGTCATCCAGGAGCTCAGCATAGTTGTCCCTTTGAATGGACAGTCCTGGCCTGGTTGGTCTGCTTAAACAAGCAATGTCATTCAGGTGATCTGGATTTGGAGGGTTCCGGAAAATGTCACCAATCCCAAGGGAAACCACCTGTGGGGAAGTTCGAGTCCATCACTGGATGCATTCATCATCTAATGCATTCATAACTGTGTATGCCTGCCACTTTGTGAAAGTGCTTCTAGTGACACCTGTGCCCCTGCCCCAGCCTTGTGTAACAAGGACGTGGAGAGGCCCATAGAGCCTGCACTGTGCCGCACAGCTGCCGTGTGCCCCGTGCCCTTACCGGGGTGACGTCGCACAGGGAGTTGAGCGGGGTGGGGTCCCGCAGCGTGTCGGACCGCCCGTCTGTGATGACGATGGCCACGCGCTTGTCGGACGTGAACCTCCGCAGCAGGTTGTCCTTGGTGAACTGCAGGGCCTCCCCAGTGTAGGTGCCCCCAGCAATCCACTGCAGGTTCTTGACTGCCCTGCAAGGACAGGCACCAGTGAGCCTGCCGGCCCTGCCCATGGGTACTGGAGGAGTTAGAACATGGCTTGTGGCCAGGCAGACACCCCTGCATGAGGATTTGGGTGGAAAACTGGCAAGCTCCTTATTTTAGCCTTAGCACCACTTATGATGCCACCAGCCACTTTACCTTCCACTAAAGGACATCTAGATCATTGCAGCTGCAGGAGCTGCAATGGGGTGAGTAGGGGGTGAGTAGGTTCCCCTGGGCCAGACCCCACAGACTCACTGCTTGAGCGCGCCGATGTTGTCGATGTTGGCATCCCCCATGGCCACCAGCTCCTGCGTGTTGTCATGGCTGTACTGCACAACGCCCACACGGGACTCCCCAGCTTCAAACTGTGGGACAGAACAGAAACCAATTAGGGGCACATACCTCAGGGGAACGCAGAATCTCAGAATCCTGCTGATGGTTTCTCCTGCCTTCATGGCGGGCTCTGATGTTTCTCTTCTGCCTTATTCTGGGCAGGCAGAGCCCCACCAGGAGTGGATGCACATTGGGACCAATATGGTGAGAGTAAATGAAAAGGAGACCCAAACCTAGATCTCACAGCTCACTGGTCTCAACAGCAGCCACTGGACTCTCAGGCCCATGGTAGAATTCTTGGGATTGTCCTGTGTGAAGAGTCAGGAGCTGGATTTGATCCTTGGGTCCCTTCTAACTCAGGGGATTCTATGGTTCCATGAGAAGATATGTTTTCAAGACTCCTGTTTTTCTTCCAACACAGTGATTTTGCTACTCAGCTCTTCCTTTTCTGCTTATTACTGGCTCTTTGCCATCCAAAAAGCCCCATGTATGCCCACCGCACTAGTATTCAACAGCAGATTATGTGCTTTAGATGTGGCTGATTATACCTTCAAGGAAGTCTGGATTCCCAACAGCCCTTCAAACCACAGAGTTAAATAAAACATACAGCAGGTTACCAGAGAGGAGGCAGGAAGAAGAGCAAGCATTTGTGTCCCTCTTCAGACTGAAAGACTCACTATGGGGACAGTATTGCTGGGTTTGGGCTGCAAGGGTCATTTTTAGTAGACTGCTTAACTGGGTGACCTAAATCCAAGCTTGGGAGCTGGACATCAGAAACTTCCAACACACTCCAGACACCTGAAATGCTCATCAGAACAAGGGAGAGACTGAGACACTGATTGATCAGGCTGATTGAATGCTCAATGCACCATCTGCTCTGGGACATGGAGGAAACAGAGTCTGTTTGCCCAAATAGAGTGAAATGTCTATTTGGACAACGATCTGCTGTCTAATCTCCATCAATTTATGAATTTGGGAAGACCCACCCCCAGATTGAAGCCAAGCCTGGTGGAGGCTTTTTGGAGTGGCAGCACCTCCCCATTTTCCTGCTTGCAGTGAAAAATAAGTGAGTGCACACAAGGATTTCACAGCGCTCAGTGGAAATGTCACCTTGACCCGCTCATCCTTGCTCAGGCGGTCGATGACTTTGATGATAAAGTCCTTGGCAATCTGGAAGTTCTGCAGGCCAATGCTCTCTGAGCTGTCCAACACAAACAGGAGGTCGACGGGACCACAGGTGCACTCTGGAGCAAGGCACAGGAGCGGAAGGACATGTTTTACAGGGAAACATTTCTAAAGGAAGTAGCTGATGCCTGCTGCAGGCCTGCCCAGCTGGGTGCCTATGCCCCAAAGCACGGTGTAAAACAATGCAGGAAAATAGCTGCATAGGAGACTTGAGAGCCAGTTTACAATTTTTTCCATGTGCATTTGCTCCCTAATAAGACATGCAGCATTTTCAGGCTGTGAGTACCCTCAAACCACCCAGTAATTATTCCATTACCCATTCCCTCATAAGCCTTCTCATTTCTTCCATTCACCCAGCCCAGCAGGACAGCGGTGGCACTGGTGGGCTGGAGGAGGCTGACTCAGTTTGCTCCCCTCTTTCTCATTATTGAAGAATATAATGTGCCCTTGGATCTACCTTCAAGCTTCTGGACTGCAAACCCAACCTATCAGGGCAGCATCGCAGAATAAAGCCCAGCACATTCCCCTACTGACCAGCACAAGATTTGGAAGGAAGAGGACAGAACTAGATTCACAGTGTGCCCAGAAGAGACATCCCAACTGTAAAATGGGCAGAGAAAATCCACCCTGCTGGTACACAGGGCACCTTGACAGCTGTTTTCCAGTTGCAGAACCCAGCCACATCAACCTCTAATCTGTGTGGCACTCTCAGAGATTGCTTCCTGCCCTCCCTTGCCCAGCTCATACCTGGTTCTCCCTCAAAGGCTCTCACTACATCTCCATGTAGTGAGAGCAGGAAGGGGAGGGGTGCAAGGAAGGAGAAGGACTAGCAAATGCTTGCAGAGCAACTTTGCCAAGTAACACTCACCACAGCAAGCTAGAGGAAAAGGGAGGGAAAGAGACAACATTAAAATTCTTGACAAAAGGATTTTTCACGTCCTAATGCAGACTGCAGGTTTGCGTCTCTGCAAACACACAGACACCTGGCCTGGACAATCCAAGCTCATGGAGGTTTCTCTCCCACTTGAAATACCCAGACTCTTTCCCATTTCAGATCGTGATGCCCTGACCTGGAGCACCACACACACACATAGCTCTGTGTCTGCACATGCTGATGCATTCTTATTTAAACAAAAATAAAAGCTAAGTAAATCACCAGAATATAGAGCTTAAAGTCAGTTCTCCATTACCCTGTGTCCTTCCAGCGCTTCATTACTGGCCATGGGCCAGAAGTCCTCTGCAGGAAATTTGTGCTGCTTCTCCCCATGGCAGGACACCCCAAACCAGACCCCCCCTTCCCAGGGGGGAATATTAGACCATGATATTCATTAAAAAAAACCCCTGCAAAATGAGCTACTCAAGGACTTCTACACAGCTTTGCTCATGTTTTCCCTGTACAGAACCACAGACAAACAAGTCTATGCCACATACAAGTGAGACACAGTTGTATGAGCTGCTCTAGAGATGGAGTTGGAGGTCTGTGGATCAAGGACACTTAATTGTGGCAAATGAAAGCAGAGAGATGCCCATGGATAGCATTCCACTGCCTGAGGACAGGGAAAAGCAGCAAAGCAGCTGCCTCTTGCTTATCAAGGCACTGAACAGGGTGGGAGGAGAGGTACAGGGATACTCACAGCACATCTTCATGATGATGTCCAAGATTTCACATTCCTGAAAACAGAGGAAAAGAAATGTTTGATTAACAGCAAAAACAATGCATAGAGCAGGCCATCAGGCAGCACCCCAATCCTGTCCCACTCACATCTGGTCCTGGAGGCCCCACGGGTCCTGGTGGTCCCTGTCAGACAGAAGCACAGAGGAGTTACAGGAGCAGTCAGTCCTATCTGTGATGTACTCTAATGGCACCTTGACAAGCAATGCAGAGTTGTGAAAAGCCTCTTGGCTTCCCAGTTGCTGGCCCCTGCACTGGGCTTGGAGAAGGAATATCTGCTTGTTTGCATGATTCCCTGCTGCTGCATGGAGGTGGAAGGAGGAGATCCACTTCCACATGTGCCACGTACACCCAGGTGGGAAGGCAGCGAGCACACACAGTGTGTGCATGGCTTGGTGTTGCCCCCAGAGCACCCAGAGCATGAAGGGATGGAGGGATGGATGGAGGGATGGTGGGATGCATGCCACTGGGACCAACCCTGAAAGGATCCTTACTTACCGGGGGACCTTCACGTCCCCTGTGACCCTTTGCTCCTTTGATGCCACTGGGCCCAGGGGTCAGGTTCTGGAATGAAAACAAAACCAAAACTCATAAATCTGTGTGTGTCAGGGGGCAGCACTAGTGCTGGCCGGGGGTCTCTGCACAAATCACCAACGGGACGGGACTGCTGGGGAATGCGTCTCGAGCTGTTTATCTTCCAGCATCAGTCTCATTACATGGTTGTGGCAGTGGGAAGATGCCAGCAGCTCACGTGCCGGACAAAGAACTGCATGTTACAACTAACTTCCTTTAAAAGTTTTTTGACCAATCACACAAAGCAAAAGCGTATTGACAGTACTTCTATCCAACCACTGTAAGCACACGTACCTTTAGTTAAAACAATGCTCGCTTATTTAGAATACAACACCTACTTGTAAACCTTAAAATACAATGCACAGAGCTCCATTATTAAGCTTAGAACTTCCTAATATCTCACTAGATGGACTTTTTTGTAGCTTAATGAGTTATTCTATCGAAGCGTTAATACAGAGATCGTTGTTCTATTCATCCTTACTTTCTACTTCTTATATAACTTTTCTACTGATGAATCTTATGGCTACTGCTTAGCTCAAATCAGAGTTCTGCTGTCTCTGATGCCTTCCTTTCGCAGCTTTACCAAAACCCTCTGATTTTAAGGATTCCCACACAGCACCTTTCTCTTCAGATGTCTGATGAGCCCTGCTTCACCATTGAAGTGTTATCTGAGGTTGCTGTACCCAATTAAATGAAGACTTGGAAGGGACACTGGGGAAATCTCCCTCCATAGGCCAGTGATAAAGCTCAGATCACCAGTGCCATCATCATCAGTGCCACCTAGAAGCATACAAAGCCTTGCAGAGGTGATGCCCACCTCACCTTAACAAATGTGGAAGTTCGCCAGCTGTCAGACACAAAATGAACACCTGGAGGGAGCTCCCATTGCTATCCATCAGTCACTGCTCAGAGGCAAAGGCTGAAGATTTACAAAATCTGATGAGCTGTGGCCCATCATTGCCTAAGGCTCCTGCACTGTGCTCATAGGAAGGGAGGATTCACATGATTACTCACATCATTGCCAGGGTCGCCAGCTTCCCCTTCGTCACCTTTAGGTCCGACGTAGCCTTTTGTTCCCTGAAAAACAGGATGGATGAGATGCTGTGTGACCAGCTGTTGCTATCGTGGTGAAGTTGGTGCTGGCATGTGGTGACCTCATGAAAGCTGGCTTGGGACAGGGGTGGAGAGCAGCACACAGGCTCCCAGCACCAGATTTCAGTGCTCTTGATGACGAGAACTTCTTTGGTGGCTTTCACTGCTTCAGAATCACGGAATTGTTTAGGTTGGGAAAAACCTCTAAGATCAAATGCAAACATTAACCCAACACTAAATCAATCCCTCAGCACAGCATTATCCAGTTCCCCTGGGTGGCATTCCCAACCCCAAACTCTGGCTCTCGGACTGCTTCAGAGAGCACCCAGCACAAGCTGCTGCCCCTGGGTGTTACAGCCAGAGCAGGACACCTCCACTGGAAGCATCCACTGCAGGGAGACGTGGGCAGAGAGAAAAGAGGGTTCTGGAGAGGCAGGTTGCTTCAGGGAGCCCATTCCAACGTGCAGCTGATGGAGAAGTTCCAAGTGCCAAACCACCACCAAGGGTAAATCCTGTGTGGCCGAGGAAGCAGCACACTTACGTTAGTGCCAGGGTTGCCTCTGTCTCCTGGCTGCCCCTGGGGATGGAGAAAAGGAAGTGTGTTAGGTTGGGCAAGTAGACATAGTGGTATTACAGTTTCAAGGTTGCACAAATACTTACTGGGGCACCTGTGAATCCAATTGTGCCATTCCCAGGAGGACCATCCTCCCCCTGGAAAGGAAGGCAGACACAGATGAGATAAAGAAATGCAGACCCCTCAGATAGCATGGCAGCAGGATGCTGGTCTCCTTGGACAGTGTATCTCCCCAGCAGTACCACTCACCCTTTCTCCCATCAGCCCAGGGTCCCCAGGCAGCCCAGGTGCTCCAGGCAATCCCTTTGGACCCTGAAAGAGGCAGAAGAAGGAGTCAAGAATTGCACAACATCATCTGAGCTGGGAAAACAATGACTTCTGAGGCAACCAGCTACGAACACGAGCCCATCGTGGAAGGGTTCTGCTTGTGCAAGAGCAATGTGAGGGTTGATGCCAGAAAGAAGTTCTTTACTCAGAGGCTAGGGAGGCCCTGGAGGTGTTCCAGGCCAGGTTGGACGGGGCTTGGAGTAACCTGAGATAGTGGAAGGTGTCCCTGCCCATGGCAGGGAGGGGGGAACAGGATGAGCTTTAAGATCAGTCCCAACCCAAACTAGGATTCAGACTAGGATCAAATGTTCTAGGATTTCTATGTAAGCCAACAGCTGTGCTTGGCTTCCATTTGCTCCCCACGCTGGGGATCAAACCTGCTGCTGGCAGATTCAGGTGGCTGCCCCCAGACAGCATCTTCCCCAGCTCTCGTGATGGGAAGCTCTGTGGTTTGTGGTGTAGCAATAACCTCTCCAAGAAATGACTTGAGGGAGGTGGGGCAAAAGGCAGCTGTGGCCTGAAGGATCCATGGAAATGCCTGGATGGGTCTGCCAGGAAGCCAGTACTGGAGCCTGTGCCAATAGGTTCAACAGCATTCCAGTATCCACGGGATTTGGGGAAAGCCCTAAGGGGCAGCACCTGCTGCAAGTTCCTGCATCCCCTCCCTGCAGAAGAACCGATGATGAAGCAGCACTGACCTCACTGCCGGGGGGGCCATCATCTCCCCTGTAGCCTTTGGGTCCTGAAGGTCCAGGCTCACCCTAGGGAAACACAGAAAGTTCTCTCAAAGGGGCTTTCTCTTGCTGCCACTCCTGCCCTGAAGGGCTGGTTCCTTCGTTTTGTGATTTGATGGGTAGAGGTGCCCATTGGCAAGTTAGGTCCACCTTGGAAAGCCTCAGAATGGACCTAGAGATGAGGGTGAGTACTGATGGAGAGGTGCTTCAGGAGCCATGCCTGGCTTCTCCTTTTCCTCCTTCCTCCTTTAACACCATTTTCTCTGTGAAACCCTGTGGGAGGTAGATGCCTGCTGAGCATGAACCAAACCCAAAAACTTTCTGGGCTGATGTGTGACAGGGATGAGCCACACATCACGTGCTTTTAGTGGCAGCCGAGGCCCCCAAAGCCATCCCTCTCCTTCAGAGCTCACCCCAGTAAGAGAGGACCTGGTGGGAAGAGGAGCAGGGAGGACAGGCGGATGCTTCCCAGCATCCAAGCACAGCTGTGTGGCGCAGTGGCACCTCATCAGCCGTGACACAGGTGCCCCTGGAGGACGGTCCTTGGTGCAAGCACATCACCCTGAAGGTGACACAAACCTCCATGTGCCTTCTGGCCTGGACAAGTCTGGGTCCCAGCCAGGGTGGCTCTGGGGAGTTTCTGTTCTCGGGAGGCTGCAGAGCCCTGGCAGAGTGTGCTGGAACAGACCAAAGCTGTCACGCTGCCACATCCCATCTGGGCAGCGGCTGCTTGCTCCACCAGCTGCAGGGCTGGCCAGAGACACCACGAGACAGGAGAGGAGGCAGGAGGAGGGCTCTTTTCTCTGAGAGCTCTGCAGATGCCCAAGGGAGCCCCTCCATCTTCTACTCAGTACTCACAGCCCTTTGCAGGGTTTGCTTTCCAGGAGGTGAGATATGATGGTGGACAATGAGCGGATAGTGATGCTCTGCCATCACATCAAATATTCAGGTAGCATTTTGTGTGGAGCTGAGGGTGCATCCAGTCCCCAGGCAATGGAGAGGACAGAGGGATGCAGAGACCTGGTGCTGAACGTCTACACATGTCATACACACCCTTCTTCCAAGGAAAGGTGTCCTTGTGGGTGCAGAAAACTTAAAATAGCACAGTGCAGAGCGCTGAACTGCTTCAAGGCATGTGACCTTATTTCTGCACAAAAACCCAGAAGAGAGAAACCTTGGAAGGAAAGACAGGAACTTGTGATCCTTCACACCAGCCAAGGCTAGAGCCACGACACCCTTGGCTCACACTGGCCACTCTCATCCTCACTGCAGCCACACAGCGCAAATCCCTCATGGCCTTGAAGGAGTTTCTGAGGGATGATGCAGGATTTTGGGTGAGTATATCTTGTCCACTACTTCTCTGGGTGCAACAAGCATGCGACAGAAGGGATGGGCACCATGGCCAGGAATAAAGAAGGGCCACCAGACCTGTCCCATGAGGCTCAGGGAAGGAGCGTGCTGGCCTTTAGCTTCTCTCAGATAGAAACAGGATGAAAGGGAGTCATAGGTTAGCGGGAGCATTTTCCCCTTGCCAAGAGAAACACAGTCCAAGGTCCAGAGCTCGCAGATAACACGGCTTGAAAAATACTTGTGTTTGCCAAGGTCCCACTCTTACCCAAACCTAATTACACATTTATTTTTAATTTGGCCAAACACAAGCATTTTTCCTCAGCTCATGGAAAAATCATCCTCACTTTGCAACTGCTGTTCAAATCTCCCTGGAGTGGTGGGAGCAGAGGGGCAGCCTCTGGCCTGGGGAGGCACTGGAGCTGCTTTTGTAACGCTTCCCTCTCTGACAGGGGCTTGACTCAAGTTCAGTGGTGGGGGGGCGGGGGAAGGGAACTGGTGGCCCACAGGAGACGCCGTTCTTTCTCCTCTTCCTCCCCAACAAGAAAGGCTGGCTGGAAGTAGGATCTGTCCCAGCCTGGCTCCCCACCACACTTGCATCAAATTTTTGTCTTCTACGTGGTCTTTCTCCTGCCTTGAACCTGGAACGTGCCTCTACCACACAGAGTTAGAGGCAGCTGGGGCTCCAGCCCCAGCCTCTTTTGCTGGCACCAGCCTGCAGCACTGATCAGTGGATTGTTACATGCACACATCTGAAGAGTTGCTTTCCCACCAGGGCCACCTCCCTAAAAGACACCTGAGCAAGCTGGATTCTGCCAAACTCTCTCTGCACAGTGCAGGTCTGACATGGGGGTCACCCATACTGGGGACAATATGAACGCAACAGCCCCCCTTTCATGTTCTGCCCTCCAGATCTTCTCCAAGGGCTCTGCAACATCTGGCCAAGGGGAAAGGAGTTTAAAAGCTGTCTCACATCTGTCTGCAAGCTGGCCTCCATGCTTCAACTCTTGTGGGAGTCCTGCTCTGCCAGTGTGGGAGTGTTTATCTTGACACATTCCTCTACCTTGGGATCCATTAAAACTCCGATGGTGTGGGTAGAAGGGGAGTTGTCCTACAGAGCCCAGTTCAAGGGTGATGTCAAAGTGTGCTTGCTCAGGTGCAAAGATCCTGTTGGCCATTGCCATCAGTGCCATGGCCATGAAGGAATGACCCAGCAACACCTCCACACCTCAAGTTATCAGTTGGGAAGAAGGAGCCTTCAACTGTGCAGGGGACAGACGCCTTCCTCAGGCTGGAGGTGGTCAACCCTGCTCTCCAGCAAGCCTGTGGAGTCTGAGATCTGTTCCTTGAGGCACACAAGGCACAGGCAGACCCCAGAGCAGGAGGGTCACACCTTCCAGTCAGCAGACTTGAGGAGCACTGGCTCTGGGAGAGGCTGTCTCTGCAGGATGCCAAGGGTGTCAGGGATACCGCTGGGGCCGCGTCAGGATATCCTCACTGACACAAGATGTGTCACTGACACCCCTGAGTGAAGTGAGCAGTTTCTGGCCCCAGGCCTGAACATTTTGTGTGTGGCTGCATCTTGCACTTGCCAGTTTCCAGTTCTGTCAGATGTGTTGACATCTGTTTCCATGGGATTGGGAGATCGTGTGCAGGTTGTTCTGCCCACAGCCCAGCAGCTAAGTCGCCATTTTTTTGGTCCTGTTCATATCCCAAATTCTCATAGAAATCCCTGCCCTTCTTCACCAGCTTTGCTTCCTGGTCTGGAAGATGCTGAGAAGTTGCCCCAAGATGCTGTGGCATCAGTTAAACTTCCCATCCCACTCTCCCTGATGTCCCAAACACTTCCATCTAAGATCCAGAAGGTTAAAGCAAGCTCTTACCTGGTCGCCAGGTGGACCGAGGGGTCCTTCCCGCCCTTGGTCACCAGGTGGTCCTGGCTCTCCCTGAAAACACACACAGAGGAGCAGGTGTGGGTGCAAAGGGACCTGTGTGCAATGGGGAGCAGGGGTGCAGCACCCACAGTGGGATAGAAATGCAGCCATCCAAACAGGCAAGGATTTGAGGCAGATTCAGGAATTGAGTAGGGAGCTGTCAGATATGGAGGAAGATAAAGACAGGCTAGTGTGGCCACACTGAATGCAAGAAGATAGCCCTAAGAGGAAGGCCATGTGAAGCTTGCACCTAGGGGACATTTTCCTGCCCATTTTGTGCCACAAAAGCAAAAGGGTGGAGGGATTCATCTGTTGCAGATACACAGAGCTGGCCCTGGACCCAAACTAGCCACACTCTGCACTCATGGCTGCTCTTCCAGAGCAGCTCCTGCCCTGGGCAGTCTGCATGGGGAGGAGCACAGCTTCCAGGATCCTGCATCCTTCCTCCAGCCTGCCATCCCTACGGAGCTAAGGGGATTTCCATGGGAATGAGGCACAGATAAAGAGAGACACCCTCACCTCTCACTCCCCTCTCCTTTGCTAGCACTCAGAGGCCTGAGCCAAGGCCCTTTGCAGAGAACTGACAGGACAGTAGGGCACAGAAAACCTGAGTCTCAGTGGTTTTGCAGCCCACCAGTTCCAGTAGAAGGAAATATCCCATGGACATGGCTCAGTTCTCTTTCACTGAACAGCCTTCCACAAATCCAGCAGAGCTGCATCCCAACAGGGCAGTGTGACTGCCAAGGTCAGGCTGGCTCTGCAGCACCTTCCTCGTCCAGACACATAGCCAGGAACGAACAAGTCAGGGAGGCAGAGGAGAGGGGAATTTGGGGGAAGAGGTTGAGAGGTTGGTGACCTAAAGCTGTTGTTTGCAACTTAGAAGCATCCAGATGCATAGGCCAAACAGCAAATATAAAACCCAACTTCCAAATGGCCCTGAGACATTTCTGGCAAGGTTGCACAGCCTCGTGCTTGGACTCAAAGTTGGAAGGAAGCAGCCCGTCATCTGCTGAACAATTTAACTGCAGGACACTGGCGTGCCTTCGTCTCCCGCACATCTGCCCCGCACACCCCGTGCAGTGACGCTGACGCTCCCTGAGCAGCACACAGGGAGGGGGAGGCTGCCAGAGGCCCCTCTGAGCCACAGCTGCCCCCTCCCAAGGCAGAGCTTTGCCCCCGTCCAAGCTGGTCCTGGTTGTCCTGGCTGCAGGGACAGGAAATGAGTGGTGCCACGGTGGACAGGATTATGGGATGCTGCTGTGGAATGCCCTGGCTCCCACCACCCCAACCGCGCACAGAGCGCCCCTTGCCCCTCCCTGTGAAGTGTGGCATGGCTGCTGCTGGCCACATGTTTGTCCTGGCCTGCTGAGGGTTCCTGCCTGTCCCTCCCACGCTCACGCTTGATGACTCACCCCAGCAGGCTGGAAACATACTTTCCTAGTGATTCCCACTCAAAAGGGGAGGGAAGAGTGTTTTCCCTTCCATCCATACCCACTCATGCTGCCCTGCTGCTGATTGTACCTGTGCCCTCCTGCCCCTGCTCACGCAGCCCCTGAGCACGCAGAGGAGGACACCTTGACCCTTTCCTCTTCATTAACTAGTTTTCCAGTTGTGAGGAAGGAATTGACAGCTGTTCACTTGCTCTTGGCTTGCTGGGCATGCTCTCCTCTGGATTTTTTGGCTGTTTGGTGATCACCTGCCAGCATAAAGGGGCGACAGCAGATCCCTCCCAAACTTGCATGTCAAGGCACTGAGCTTGCCTGCTGGCCCAGATGCTGGTGGAGTTAGCTACTGGACACCTATTCCCAGCCTCTGGCTTCCAAGCATCCCCCCTCTTGCAAGCAAATGTGGAAGGCTGCCCTGCGGGTGCAGTTACCGACTGTCCTCTCGGCCCACGGTCACCCGGCGAGCCTGGGGGTCCTCTCTCCCCATTGCTGCCCTGCAAAGAGAGGGTGGCATCACAAAATCAGGGCCTGTTCCCGGCAGGCCAAACCCCTCCTTCACTGCCCACCTCTGAGCAGGCTCAGCCCCAGGCGCCCTCCTCCTTTTCCGGAGAGTCCCAGCCCCTGCCCTCGGTGGGTGAGAGGCGCTCCCACTTACCCGCTCTCCAGGAGGACCATCCTCACCTGGAGCACCCTGTGGAGAAACAAGAGGGGTGCTCAGGGCATGGGGATGGCCAGCAGGCACACACATGGGCATCAGAGGTAGACAACTCACCTCATCACCAGTCTCTCCAGCTGGGCCAGGCTCACCTGGGTTCCCAGGAGCTCCCTGCAAGGCACGGGGATGCACACAAAAGGTCAGACAGCTCTGGATCAAAGCCCTGCACACTTGAAGAGCTTTGGGCAAGCTCTGCTTCAAAGCCCAGGCTGTAGCAGGGGTCCTCTCACAGAGAGCAAGAGGATGTTCACACAAAGGTGCTTCTTCACCCACCTTCTCTCCAGGGTTGCCAGGAATCCCCTGTCGGCCAGGCTTTCCATCATTCCCAGGCTCCCCCTTCACGAGAACACAAGGCACCATCAAGACTGCATCCAGCAGTGGATTTCAGCTCCCACTGCACGGAGGCTGTCAGGAGCCACAGTGCACCCCAAGCCTCTTTCAGGGTTTTGGTGTCTCCCCATCCCAACAGATCCCTCCCTACTCCACTCCCAGTGAAAGTCACCTTGTCACAGCACTCCCCTGATATCTCAGGGATGCTTTGTGCCAGGCTTGTGGGCACCCTCGAACTGTGGGCACACTGTGGGTGATGGCAGCCTCCTCTAGTGAAGAGGCCAGGTTGGACAGGGCTTGGAGCAACCTGGTCTAGTGGAAGGTTTCACCTGCCATGGCAGGGGGTGGAATGAGGTGGACTTGAAGGTCCCTTCCCATCCAAACCATTCTGATTCTGTGATAGCCTTGCCCCAATCAGTGCAAGCTTTTTCCACCTCTTCCTCCTGCATCCCTCCTCTGCGTGAGGCTGGGCAGAGCAACTCACCTTTGCTCCCTTGGGTCCAAAAGCACCAGCATCTCCCTTCGGTCCAGGCGGGCCTTGAGCTCCCTGTTGAAATTAAAGGCAGTGTCACTGAAACCTGAACTGGAGACACCATCTGCAGGAAACTGGGCATGAACTGAGCATCCCAGCAGCCTGGCAGGCGGCTCCCGGTTGGGATGGACAGGAGGGATATGGCCAGAAGGGACTCCTGCACCACGGAGCTGTGCCAGCAGTGCTGCACCCACATTGCTGAAACACTTCTGAAGCTCAGAGGAAAATTACAGAAAAGGTGGTTTGGGGCTGCTGTAGCTGGACTACAGTGACACTGGTGCCACCACAGATGTGTCATCCTGGGAGCATGGAAAAGGCAGGGAAACTGGGAAAATGCAATGTCAGGCGGCCCCAGGGCAACTGAGGACAGCTTCCAGGCAAGGATGAGGCAGAGTGCCGCAGGGTCAGCCCCGAGGTGCCATGCCTGGGATACAAGCATCACACATTTCCAAGCAATTCCCTATTTCCACACACCATCATGGCAGAGCTGTTCACTTGCATGCAAGGGGCACCCACAGGGTACCTACGTCGAATCCGGGAGAGCCTTTGCAGCCAGGTAATCCAGGGTATCCCGCTTCGCCCTGTCAGGCAGCCAAAACAGGGGTCCCCAATGAGTGACACTCGCAGGAAGACCCCATCCATCATCCCAGACCCCTGGAAGGGACATCCCAGCCCCATTCCTGCCTGGGAGATGGATGGCCCTGCAGGGAGGGAACTCCACTGCTCCACAGGCTTCATCCCCAGACCCCACAATGGTTTTGGAGGGGCAAAAGCCAGGGTGTTCAGGCCAAGCAAAGTCCCCTGGGGCAGAGATTTACCTTCTTGCCATCAATGCCATCGATTCCACGCCTGCCTTTCTCACCCTGAAACAGAGCACCAGGACCGTGAAGTGATTCCCAAATTCCCAGTGCCTCCCAAACGTCAAACAGAGGAAAATGGTGCAAAAGCAGAGTCTGACCTTGGCTCCTTTGGCTCCTCTTGAGCCCTGCAGAGGGAAGGACAGAGGTGTCAGACGTCCATGCAGAGCAGATCCATCCCCCCACCGCAGTGCAGTCCCCACACCAGCTCAGCCTGAGGACTCAGGCATTTACCACTCCTCTGCACGCCGCTGGATCCCACTGGATCCCACTGGATCCCACTGGATCCCTGCTCTTGGCTCAGGCAGTGCCAGCAGGAGGGGTGGATGTGGGGGCACATAGCAGACCCCAACACCACGCAGCTGCAGGGCCAGCCCAGGATAACCCCTCATGGGGATATGGGGATCTCTCCCAAACATTCCTGCTGTCCTCACCTTTTCTCCTCGGCTTCCTTTGTCACCCTAGAGAGGAAGGGAGAAAGGGAAATGGGAGAATGAGAACGCTGGCAGCACAAAGCCTATGGCCCATCTCTGAACCACCTCTGTGAGCCTGCAGCCCCACACACCTTCATTCCTTGGTAGCCAACAGGTCCCATGTCTCCTGGTCTGCCCTAGGGTACAGAAACACCGTGTTATAGATGCAGATTCAGTCACCACCATTGGACAGCATCCCCCCAGACCCTTGATATGGGACTCAGCTGCCGTTCTCTCACACAGGAGCCTCTCCCATAACTCTGCTCCTTGTTTTCCTAGTCTGAGAGCACGGGATCATTGTGGAGGGCCAAGAGGACTTGCCTTCATCTCCACCATCTCCAGGTCTTCATGGAGGTGAGGGAAACTGGGTGCTTGGGGACACGTCATTTGGGAGGAAAGGGAAGGGCAGAAAACCCTTGGAAAGAAAAAATGCATGGCATGGGGTTTCCAGTTTGGGAGCACACAAGACGGGTAACTGCACGCTTAGGTGTGTGGGAGAAATGTGCCTCCCAAAAATAAGTGTGCCTAGTAAAATAAAAGAGGGAGGAGGAGGGAAATAGTTTCCTCATGCTATTTACCAAAGATTTCCCTGCAACACTGCTGTGCTTGTTGTGTCAGAGGACACAGGAGGGAGCCCAGAGTCCACCCCTGGGCTGGCACACATGAGTCAGAGACATGTCCTGCAGGAGGGACGGCTATTTTGGGTGAGGAACAAGGAAGCCTTGTAGCAAAAGGAGGAGCCTCCCCACTGCACGGCAGGCATGACTGCACACCCCATAGAAATGGGATGATGCCGGTGAGGATGCATCCGAGAGGCCTTTTTTGGCCAGAAGCAGCCAAAAAAACCAGCCCCTGTGCAGAGTCACCAGGGCTGATCCTTCACTTACTGGGTCTCCAGCCTCTCCTTTCTGGCCGGGAAGACCTGGCTTGCCTCGTTCTCCCTGCAATACAGGAGAGAAACACAGTTAGTTCATCATCCCCAGGAACAGAAGAATGACCTGTTGAAAGAAGAGCAGGGAGGATGGGAGCAGAAATGCTCCACAGATAGAGGGAGCAGATGGTGCTGGCCATATGGGAGCATGGTGTGGGTCCATGCCCCACAGGTGATGTTGGGAGCCTTGTCCAACCTTCCTGGTTCTATGATAATGATTCCAGGTCTCTGAGCCTATCCCACTGTCCCAGTCCCACAGTGCACACACAACCAGTCCCTCACCTCATGGCCAGGGTCACCAGGAGGTCCAGGGGGCCCTCGGGGAGGCTGCAGGAGAGATATGTGGGTTAGACCAGCCTCAGACCACAGGGATAAGAGGGAAGGGGACAGGGCTCTCAAAAGCCTGACTCACCTGGCACTCGAAGGAGCAGCACTGCACAGAGGGAAGGAGAAAACACCATTAGAGGAGGTGGCAGTAGCAGGGCCAGCCTGCACCCTGCTGGGGGGGGGGGCTTCCCAGGCTTACAGGGGGTGCCTGCAGGGCAGGGCTGTGCCACCAAGCCCCCCTAGCCATGGGTCACCCACAGGGGACAGGCTCAGTCACAGGGCGACACTCACCGATTGCTCTGTGTTAAGTTTCTGCAAGACAAGAAAGCAAAGAGAAGGGATTTAAGAGGGATGGGGGGCCTGGGGAGGGGGCGGGCTGGGGAGGGGGTGGGCAGTGCTCACAATCATGTCAATGATGGTGTTGATGGTCTCCTCCACATCGATCTCTCGGGTGGGCTTCAGGCTGGTGGCAGTGAAATTGCGGCGGTAGGCATGGTCCGTGGCAATGATGTTCAGCCGCTGGTCCTGGGGGTGGGGAGGGCAGAGTGAGACCTGTGGGCACCTGTGCCGGCTCTGAGTGCCCCTCCTTTGTACCCTGCGGGTCTCATGGTCCCACTGGGGACCCCCTGCCAGGAGCATCCCTGCTCTGTGGTCCCTACCAAGTGGTTGGGGGAGATGGCAACAGAGAAAACTTTGATCCCCAGGAGTTTCGCTTCATTGGCAGCATCATCCAGGCCTCCACAGGGCTCCTTGTAACCTTCCAAGGGATGTCCATCAGTCACCACAATCAGGTATTTGTTCTCCTTGTGATGGGAACCACTGGAAGGGTTTAAACACAGGATTTAACGCTGAAAGAATTTAGCTGGAGAGGAGTGGTTGGACACCCGGGGACACTCACCCCAGACAGTGCCCCAGCCTGTGGTCAGGGCGCGGCTCATCCCAGCAAAGCTGGGGCAATTTGCCACCCCTTTCCCCACGCTGTGATCTCTTTTCCCAGCCTGGGGACAGCTCTGCGCAATGCACAGGGATGTCCCAACCCAGAAGCTCCCACACCACCCCCACGCCCCCTGTGCCCGCTGCGGCCTCGCCGCCTGACCCGATGAGCAGCTCCTCGATGCCGCGCTTGATGGCGCAGTCCGTGTAGGTGCCCTTCCCGATGTAGTTGACAGACGACACGCGGTTCTTCAGCTCGCTCTGCCCGCTGGGCATCGGCGTGAGGCTCTTGATGAGCACCACCTCATCGCTGTAGTGCAGCGCGCCCGCGTTCCACACCAGGTTGCGGTCGCAGCGGTAGTACCTGCACGGACACACCAGGCCACGGGGCTCGCTTTGCTCACACCAGCATAGAAAATGCAAATCCTCTGCACGACAGGGATTTGCCAGGGTTCCCTGCTCTCCTGCAAAGCTGGGACATGCTTCCCATGCAAAGCACATCATGGGACCCCAGGATAACTTGTCCCGTGGGTGGAAGGGCAAATCGATGCCATGGGTGGGCATCTGCGGGGATCAAACAGCTTGGCAAGAGAGGCTTCTGGAAGAGGTGCCAGGGGCTGGAGCTGGGCAGGAGGGGCTGAACCAGATAGCCAGGTGTGTGTGTGCGAGGCAGGTAACCACTGAAACATCCCGCAAAGAGGTTTTCCACTGCCAGATGTGTTAAAATCAGAGAGGGATGCCTCCCTTGGAAGGATGCTCTGACTTGGGGAAGGATGTGTGTGTATGTGTGTGTGTGTGTTGCAGCCCTGTTCTGTGCACTGACATATCCAGCACCTGTGACTCCCTGGGAAAGAAGCGCCACCTGTGCTTTGGCCACTGCCCCAAAAAAGATCTTTTCAGGTTATGGAGACCAATACCAAAGGGATGTGGTTTCTTTTTCAGTAAGTGGGGGCCAGTCCCAAAGGAGTGGTGTTGCACATCTTCTCTCTGCCCATCAGGAGCTGTCCCAAAGCCACCTGAGCCTTGTCCACTGCTGTTCCCTCTATCCCACTGCAGAACTGAGCCAGCAGGCCTGAGCACAGGGGAGAGTGATGCTGCACTCATAGAGGCCTGGCAGGTTGCTCCCAAGCACAAGGCTCCTGATCACTCAAAGCCTTGTAGACAACTCTTCTGCTTGGGCAATGGACAGGTGAGCTGCCCCACCCCTAACCCTCCTGAGGTAGGGCATTGCCCTTCCAGCTGGTGCAGCACTGGGACATCCTCCCCACAGTGCCCCTCTGGGCACTAGCACACATCTCCTGCTGCCCTGAGGAGCTCAGCAAGACCCACGTGCCTCCAGCGCCTGTGGTGCCCCTGTGCATCCATGGATCTCCTGCCTGCAGTCAAGCCCAGCACCACCCCTTCTGGGATCCGGGAGCTTTGGTGCTCCTGGGCATCCCTGGGCATTCCCTTGGGAAAGACAGGGTCCAGCCTTGGTTGGTGGCTGCAGAGGTGGGTGAGGAGAAGACAGATAAAGAGTTGGGGAACGGGGTGGGTGAGGGGCACCCGAAACGGGGACGCGCCACTGGCAAGGGAGGGTTTGCCCTGCAGCTCACCCTGTGAGTGCTGAGTTTAACCCCAGAGGTGCCCCACTGCCACCCCTGCACCCAGGACGTTCTGGGCCTGAGTAAAGCGACCAGCATTGCTTTGGCACTGCACAATAACCACACAGCCACCCAGAGGTGGTGGGGTTGGGCTGCCATGCCTGCCACTCCAGCAATTCCTGCCTTTCCTGAGGGTGGGTGCTAGCAGCCCTGTTAAAGCCACGCTGCTGCTGTCAGCACAGACAGAGAAAAAACCAAGCAGCTGAGCACTGGGAGAGGGGGGAGAGGCTCCCATCCCCCTCCCCAGCATTCCTGCTTTTCTTCTTTTCTTCTGTGGACAGACACACAGGGGGATCTCAGCATCCCACCCAGCAGCAGGCTCCATCCCCAAAGCAGTCTGGATAAACCCCTGGGGGAGGTACCTCTGGGTGAGTTTATCAATGAACCGGTTGGTGAAATCTTTCACTTGGGTAACCAGGTCCCCAAAGGGCTTCACCCTCAGGGCAACACTTTCTGAGGTGTCCAGGACGAAGAACAGGTCCACAGGGCAGTCTGGGAAGAAGTGGAGAGGCAGGAATTGGCTGGCAGTCCTGCTGCATCGCCTCCCCCTCCCAGGCTTCCCACACTGCCCACCCCATTTCCCTCTTTGCAGGCTCCTGGGATCTCGGCTAAGGGGATTGCTTTCACATCCTTATCCCCTTGGAATCAAGAGTAAGCAAGATCGCTTTTTCAGAAAACATAATTTTGTGTAATTTAACACTTTCCTATACTTTCTTGCCTGTTTCCATTCAAAGGATATCTTTGCAAGACCTATACTACTTATTATACCAAATAACATGCAGCTGCAGGAACCACTCAAAGAAATGAAACCTGTTTAGCAATCAATGCAATAAGAAAGTTAAAATTTTCTGAACACATCCTGCCAAAAATACAATTTTAAGAAAGAGCAATAACATAAACTTCCCATAAGAGCCAGCATCCAGCCGAAAATAGTTTAGAAAGCTGGATTGGTATCCACTGTTATCCCCCTCTCCTGCATCCCACTGCTACGGGTAACTCCAGACCAGACAGAATCAAGCAAAAAGAGCCAAGAAACATGAAAGGGGGTACTTCTTGCAGATCCTCTGTAATCCTACACTGCTCTCCTCAGCAAGCCCAAACGTCCCGACAAATCTGTGGTGTGTCTGCAGCAGAGGCATCCGTCCGGAGGGAAACAGCAGTCAGGCTACTCTGCTGATCCCGGGAAGGAAAACCACCCTGGAAAGCATTCCAGGCTTACCTTCTGTGCTGGAGACTTGGGTGATGATTTCTGGGCGCTGAGCACATGAGCCCCCCCACAGGAGGCCGGCCGGGAGCAGCAGAGTGAGCAGAAAGTCTCGCAGCCTCATGTTTCTCGGTTCAGATTACCATCGAGCTGGATCCAAGGAAATAAGCAGGGCAGGAAAACCCAGCAGCTGAGCGAGGCCACAGTCTGGAGGCAGGAGTCGCTGAAGATATTTTTTTTTACCGCTTTCCTCTTGGTTTCTGTGGGAGGAAGAGAAGGAAGGAGGGTAAGGGTGAGGAGGAGACTTCTCCACCCTGAGGACGGAGGGAGGGATCAGGCGATGTCAGCTGTGAGTCAAACTTAGGAAGCATTTCTCCTTACCCTTTCTATGGATGTCACTATACCTGCGAGGGCAGCCCAGCCACTGGTGCCTGGGACCCCCACAAGCCTTGCAGGGAGCCCTGGAGCAGGCAGTACCCACCAGCATGGGGCTCAGCCTGCTTGCTGGAGCAGGGGGCTTGGGACACCTGCCAGCAGTTTCCTCTCAGCTCCTGGGACAAGAAAGCTGCGCCAGGGGGACAGGCATTCCCGTCACATCCCAACCTGCAGGACATCTGCTCTGGGTTCTGCCAGGGCAGTCCCCACCACGCGGCACAGCTGAAGCTGGGGGCATGGGGGCACCGTGGAGGCACAACACTTTTTGGGAAGCACTTTCTTCAAAGGCTTTTGGAGAGACTCTCTTCTCAGTTTCGGAGAAGCACCTTCTTCACTTTCTTGACTTTCAGGGCTTTCTGCTCAAGCCAGTCAGGAACAAGAGAGGCTTGTTACTGAGGAGAAACCCACAGGGTCACCCAAGTTTGCAAAAAACCCTTCTCCTCAGGGCCATGCTCAAGGCAGGGAGTTGGGAACAGGGTCAGAGCTGTCAAGGCCAGGAGGTAGAAACAGGAGCACAAGTCCTTAGAGATATCTGGAGATGAGCATCTTGTCACTTGGTAAGATGGCAGGAGAGCCTGAGGACCTCTACAGCAAGGCACCCCAAGGTGGGATTGACCATCTGCTCTTTATGGCCAGAGCTGGAGATAGTCCTGGAGAAGTCCCAGGTCCTGCCAAACCCCACATTAATTGCTATGGAGGGATAGGGGGAGAGGTGAAATACCTGAGGGCTGACCCTGGTACAGCCGCAGCTGTAACTTGCTCTCAAAAGCACAGGAGGGCACCAAAAGCTTTAAATAAAACATTTTAAAGCGTTAAATAAAATAAAAATAAAGCATTAAATAAAACGTTATTGGCTCCAAAGAGCAAAGAGTCAACAGCAGAAACCCAGCTGGCACAAAGTTTGCACCCAGGCTGGGTGCATGGAGGCAGCAGGAGACCTGCAGGACACACTGGGGGACCACGCAGGGCTGCTGCCACCTCTGTCACCTCTGACAGCATCTCTGTGGGCATGGTCAGGCAGAAACGTTGCAGGTTTGGCAGTTGGAGGTGCCCCAAGTTGAGACAACTCAGAAGAACCCAGAAGCTCCACTGATTACGAGTTAAAGCAGTGGAGGACCCTGTCCACTCTACACAAGCAGATACATCAAATGACACTTTGGATAAACAGCATCCAAAAGCAGCGGAAAATAATCTGCAGAATGTGCTGAACTGAAACCTCACGAACCCAGAAAACTTCAGGCACACTTTTTTCACTCCCACATGAATTTACAGAATCACAGAATAAGCTGAGTTGGAAGGCACTGTCAAGGATCATCGAGTCCAGCCAACACCCAGGCACTGAGGTGTGTGGGCTTTGCTGGGCTGCACATGTGGCACCAGGAGATGAGGGCACTGCAAGGCAAATTTTCACAACATCTCAAACCTACTGAAGATGCTCTCCCAGAGAGCAAGCATGCCCAGGGACAAGTCCTGCTGCCTGACACTTCATGGGGATCAGACCTGATCTGGCTTTCCAACACACCTCCTCAGGCTCCCACAAGGGAACTCTCCTGGGATTTTGAAAACCAGCCAGCAACTCCCAGAAAAGGGTTCTGGGAAGGGATCTGTCTTCATGCATCAGCTCAGCAGAGCCATTTCCTCTTAGCGTTCTCCCTTCCTCTCTCCCCTTCCCTCACAGGGGATTATCCCAAGAAGAAGAGCTGACCTCCCCTCCCTGCAGGCAGGGAAAAGCTGCCCCTGCTGGGAGCAGCTCTGCAGAGCTGGAGAAAGCTGGAGGCCAGCTGGCTGTGTCAGCAAAGACTTAATGATCGTGGTATGGCCTGTGCGAGGCCCCGAGCAGCTGCAGCCTGTCAGAGCCCGTGTGCCCTGGGGAGCTCTTCCCACCCCACTGGGGACCCCCGTGCCCGCCTGGAACCCAGGCCTGGCCCCCCAGGGCTGTCATCACGCATGATGTCCCAGGAGCATCTCACCACATCGCTGCGCTGGAGCAGCGTCCAGCTTCCAAAGCATTTTAAATCATTGTCTTTTCCAGGTCTGTGGTGCTGAACCATGGACAACAGCCAGCAGTGTCCTCAGGACATTGAATAGCTATTTCTTTGGAAGAGTGTGAGCTAGTTTTGCAGGAAACAAATCCGCTCCCAAGTCAGTGGAACTAGCAGCGTGCCACCGTGTCTCAAAATCCAACAACACAGGCCTGTGAAGGATGTCCCCTCCCCTTCCTCTTCAGATGAGGACAGAGAAATTGAGCCCTATGGCTCTGTCCCCCCTGACAAGAGCAGGGAACCTCCTTCATCTATCATCCTCGCTCTGGAGTGCCATGAAGATGGGCAAGTGAAGCCCCTCCAGGGTGTCTAAGTGCCCCAAGGAATGGGTGTCCTCCTTCCCCTGTCTCAGACCACAGCACTGCACTAAATTTTCAGTCCAATTCAAGACCAAACTGGGTGCTGGGAAAAAAAAGTACACTTGAGACAGAATTTTTGCTTTTTCTTCTCCCAGAGATTGAGAAAAGAGTGAATTTGCCCTGTTTTTCCGATATTAACTCTTCCATATAACCTTTTCTTCCCTTTAATCAAATCCACTTGGAAATGGAGAATAGTGCTTCCACAGGAAACATGGAAAGGAGCTGAAATTAATTCCCATGGGAGAAGCCAGGATTGAACCCATCAGTACACACAGAACCAAAGGGTGCTTTGGAAAGCAGAGAAGGACCGAGTGCCAGGTTGCACGTGGGGCTACTTTGTCCCCTGAGATGGTTCTGGGAGATGCCCCAGATAGGGAACACCAAAATTTCCCTGGTTGTAATCACACAAAGCACACCAGCGCCCTGCCAACTGCCTGAGACATCTTTTTCACCTTCCCCCCACCCCTGGGGACGTGGGCACCCAGTGATGGAAATGTTTGGGATGATGGATATTTCCATGTGTCTGGTTACCAGGGTCCCCCAGACTGGCTGTAGGACCCCAAGCTGTCTGTCCCAGCCTCCATCCCAGTGTCCTCCCCATCTCTGTGCCCAGTCCTGCGCCACAGAAGCAACCGCACTGCGAACCCCGTGCTGCACCAACCACAAACCCCACCGGAAAGAGCGTGGCTTGTGGTGCTTCTGCTCGTGATAATTCAGCTTTCCACAGTGGATCTCTGCAGGAGGAGGCAAGGGAGAAACCCCTCTGAGCAGGAAAACATCACCTCTCCCAGAGGTGCCTTGGGAGAATCTCACCACGGCAGAGCAGGCCTAGGCAGCACCAGAGGGGAGTCTGGCATCCACCCACCTGGAAAAACACCCCGTGGAAGAGACAACCCCTCTTCCAAAACCCTTGACAGTCCTACGAAGCGGCCCTTGGCACCCTTTCCTTGCAAAGGGCTGGAAGCCACCCCAGGAGACGCAGCCCAGCTGGGACATTGGTGCCTCTGCAAAGCGCTGACCCAGCACGAACTCGCCTGCTGTGCTGCTTGCCAGCTGCGTCCGAGCTGCCGGGGGAGCCCTCCCTCCCTTCCCGTGCTGCTTGGGGACGCACTCTTCCCTTCCCAAGACACCTCAGGGGGTCACCACCACTCCAGCGGGGAATTCCAGCTCCCATCCATCCAGCACACGGAGGGTGTGAGTGTCCCCCTCCAGCCCACTCTACAGACCCCTTCCGTGCTGGCACAGACGGGACACAGCGCGGCTCCAGCAGCAAATCCACGTCCCCACACCCAGGATGGTGTGTGCTGGGTTAATGTTTTCCCCATTACTTCACTCTGGCCTCTGTTCTTATGGAAAAAACCAAACCATCTGGTAATAATATTTCCCTAATAGCTGTCTGGGTCTGTGGGAAAGCTTGGCTCAGCTTCTTAGGGAAGATGAGAGGGTCGAATGAGAGGGAGGTTGTGGATACGGCATGGGAGCTGGAGGAGAGGAGATAATGCTTTCAGGATCCTTTTCCTGGGCCACCCCAGTGCTTGCAGGAATTCTCGACTCACAGGGGAGCCACAAGATGCCAGGATGACACACACTTGGGGTACCCCACAGTTTAAGAGCCACACTCTCTTCCTCTGTCCCACAGAGGAGGCGTGAAGGTGGGCAGCAAGATTCACTTCCAGGACTTTCCCCCCACCTCTATTTTACACTCAGAAAATAGAAACAGCCCAGAGCATGGGGTTTGGGGAGTTGGGAGCATCGTTGTTTGGGAACAACGCTGGCTCAAACCAGAAAGATCAGCAGCATCTGCATTGTCTTCCTGTTCTTGGAGAAAAGGCAGCACCCTGGGACACGCCAGCTTCAGCCCTGGGGACATCACTGGAGGGGCAGGGGACAGAGGAACCCCCTCTTGTGGAGTACATCCAGGAAAAAGGGATGGAAAACCACGCACTAACCCCATCAGTGGAATATTTTCCGCTCTTGTGCGATGAAAGGCGTGGCTTGGGTGATTCCCAGGAAGCAGAGCATGCCTGCCAGGCTGGGCACACGTTCCCTGGGGAAGGCAGGCCCCAGGCGCTCACGGAAAAGCGGAGCAGCCGCCAGACACAGCCCTGCCTGGGCTGGGGGCGCTGCAAGCACTGGTTCCAGCCAGCCCCACGCTCCCAGAGCCCAGCCTGCATCTCTGGACTGCGAAGGGACGAGCTACACAGGCTGAAAACCTGCTTCTCCTCTGCCTCGGGTTGCAGCCCCCCTCTGCATCCGTGTGGATGCAGGCATCAAACCAAAGCATCAATCCCAAAGCCTTGGGAAGGACAGAAAAAGCATCTTCCTTGTTGGCTGCCTTCTGCATATCTCAGCTGGCTTCCTGGCACAGCGCAGCACAGAGCCAGCCGGATCCTTTCCATAGTTTTCCACAAGGATTGTCCACCCCAGCCCGGGAGCTTGCACGTATCTAGTAAGCTCCCAGAAGTTCCCAGCAGCCCCTTCCCAGGCTGTTTCTGCTCCCATTTTTATCAAGCATGCGTGTTCATACTCGTTATTTTTACCACCCCAGCAGCTGTGCAGGCTCTGGGTGTGTCTGTGCCCTTCCAGAGCAGCGCTGTGATGCAGCAAGGCGTGCAGCCCGGCTCCCTCCGCACCAGAGCCAGATCCAGCTGCAGCCTTTTCCTAGAAGGATGAAACAAGTCAACCATCCTTCCTGGCAAGAATGTCTTCCCAGCCCACTCTAAGCAGTGCCGAGCATCTTCCTTGGATCTTTCACAGACAATGAGGAGCAAATGCAAACCATCCAGCCATGGAGAAGGGGGAATGACTTTACACTGAAAGTAGGTTTTTGTTGGATATATGGAAAGAAATCCTTCCCTTTGAGGGTGGTGAGGCCCTGGCACAGGGTGCCCAGAGAAGCTGTGGCTGCCCCTGGATCCCTGGCAGTGCCCAAGGTCAGGCAGGACGGGGCTTGGAGCAACCTGGGATGGTGGAAGGTGTCCCTGCCCATGGCAGAGGGTGGAATGAGATAGTCTGTAAGGTCCCTTCTAACCCAAACCACCCCATGGTTCTAGGGTTGCTCTCCTCAAGCCTATTTCCTCTGCTCCATGCAGCAGATTCCAGCACAAGCTGCAGCCAGTGGAATCCCAGCAGGGTGTAAAGATAAGCATCTCCCCCCCCACAAGTTTATTATTTTTCAGAGGCACAGCCAAAGGTAAACAGGCTGTTTTAATCTCCAAACACTCACCCTCTCAGCAGGAAGCGACAGAGCTGCAGCCAGCACAAAGGGCTGGATGCAATGGACAGGGCTGTGGGGCCTCTGCACCCTTAAATGCCTTCAGTGGGGCACAGCAGCTTTCTCTTGCCTCTGATGAGTCCAGCAGAGGTTAAGCCAGTGCATCCAGGTGGTTCACATCCCTCTGCATCCCACCTCTCCAGCCTGGGCAGGGATTCAAGCCACGTGCTGGGGTGGGTGGGCGCAATAACCTTTGGGGTTGTTTGCGCACGCAGCCCCACCGACTCCTTCCCCAGGGCTGCTCCCACCTGGGGCTGGCTCTGACTCTGGGAAAGTCTCCCGGCTCAGCAAAGGCCACGGAAGGCACTTCATGGATGGCCCAGGGCTTGCAGGGAGGGGGGAAAGGAGCCCTGAACCACATTTCCCAGAGCACTGCCCTGTCGGTGACACCCCGCTGTGGGGTGGTCTCCATGGCCCTGCTGCTCTGGGAAGGGGATGGGAGCAGCAACAGGGGCTTTTCTCCAAGTGAAAGCATACAATCAATTCCTGGGCAGGAGAAACCCAGGAAACCTGGTTTTTAGTCAAAAGTGGGTGCCAGGCCTGGAGCTGCATGTTGTGGTTGGCTTGTCAGGGAGCAGGGCTGGGCACCCCCGCCAAGGGCATGTCAGAGGTGCCACAAACAAGGGGAGGATGACTTCCAGATTCCACAGAGATTTGGAGCTGCTGCTCCCCGGGTTTGAGCAAGGATGTAGAGAAGGGTGAACTGCCCTGCCTGCCTGCCACAACCACTTTGCAGGGCCAAATGGGAGAAGGGGTGATGTGCACTTGGAAAATTTAATTCCAGATGGAGAAAAAAGGTTAATATAGCTTTTTTGCCTTTGTTTACACATAAGACAGAGGTCTGGGCAGGCAGTGCTGGCCTCTCCTGGATGTGTGTCAAGCCCAGGGCTGGATGGGCTGGAGATGGAGACCCTCACTGCACCAGGGCAACATGCAGAGCTGGGGCAGCGCTCTGGCTTCCCTTCTCGAGTAGAAAGGAAGCATCCCAGAGGAAAACCATGCCCCAATGTGTCCAAACATAGCACCAGGGCTGCTCCAAGGTCCAGCAGGGCTGGCACATGGTGGGCTGGTGGGGTGTGTTTGAGAGCTGCCATTGTGTGGGGCTGGATGGGGAGCCTGTACACCATCTGGATCGCTAGCAGCCCCTGGATTGCTGGGCTGCTCCCAGGGCCCGGCAGTGACTCACGCCTGCTATAAACACGTCCCCTGATGGATAATGAATCCCAGTCTTCACTGCCTTTCAGGAACACTCTGGATTCTCTGTGCAGTGCTCCCCCATTCCCCCTCCCTCCTGGCAGCCCTGCTCCCATGTGGGATCATTTCCTGATGCTGAGTGGAGCCAGGGCTCTGAGGCCCATTTCCCAAACCACATTTTGCTGAGTTTCCCCATTAACCATTCTGGGGGCACCGAGGCTTTTGTGCTACGGGGGCCCCCCAGCACCCCACGTCCCTCCTTGTGGGTGCCCCACTGCCCAAACCCCGGCTTGCTCCCCAGCCTCATTCCACTCACCACGGAGGGCACTTCAAGCAACAAAAGCTTTATTGCAATGACACGGATAAGCCACGAAATACATCGCAAAGCATCAGGGGCGTGAGGGGCGACGAGGAAGCGCAGATGAGGGCGGTGGAGAGCAGTGGCTCGCACTGGGAACCGCTGCACGCTGGCTGCACGCTGCTGTCCTCCTGAGACCTGCTGCCCCAGCCCCCGAGCCCGCTGCTGCCCCACGCCCCGGCCGAGGGAGCAGGGTCTGGACAGCCGCGGGTGGGGGCGCGGGTAGCGGCCCCAAGGGTGCCACGAAGGAGCGGGAGAAGCTCGCAGGAAGCCGGCAGCATCTTCGGAGGGGGGCTCAAGCATCGGCCATTGGCACCAGGTCAGGCGGTGAAGGTGTTCCTCCCGTGGGGGTCAGGGTCTGCAGAGCTGGGGGCAAGCAAGGGAGATGGTCAGGGCTCGGCCAAGGCTCCCGCACCGGCACCTCCTGGCCTCTCAGGCTGCTTCAACACCCTGAGCAACCATGACAAATTAAGAAGAATGATAGTGAATTTATCTCGTGGTGAAAAAGTAGATTTTGGGGTTTCTAGAATGGGGATTCAGGGGGCAAGATGGAGGGATCTGGGTGTGTCCAGCCTTTCACCTTATTCTTCTTGGCCTCCATCTCCTGCTGTGATGTTGGTACTTTCAGATTGGTTTAGAGTAGAAGCTCAGTGTCTAACACAGGTGATAGGTATTGGAAAGTAATTGTAAATGTTGTATATGTAGTTTTTAGTATAAAGACATAACTCCACACTGGGGGCAGGCAGAGTGCCTGGACTGTCTTGCTGAACTGACCTCAGCTGGACAGAAGAAAAAAATTTATAGATAAGGAGCAATAAACAACCTTGAGACTGAGAACTGAAGAGCTCTGACTCCTTCTTCAAGCACCAGGCTGGGAAAAGAGACTTTCTGACATTTCTCGGGGGTCACTCTGACCAGTGAGAGGCCCCCACAACCTCAAGCAGAGGTTTTGCTGCATTAGCACAGCTGAAGGCCTCTGGCAGATCAGTGTGATGCTGAAATCACCCACACCCCAAAAAGCCAAGCTGGAGGAGCCATGCCCACAGAGAGCTCTGCTACACCACAACAAATCTCCCTTTTCTTCCATGGGAGCTCACATCCAGCATGAGCTGGGCTGCCAGGTGAGCCCAGGTGGTTGCACGGCATGCTGCATTTGCCTCATGGGTTCTCACTGAGGGCTGAGAGTGGCCTTTTGGGAGCTTCAGAGAAGCCATCTGAACACACTGAGGCTGTTGATGGGCTGAGGATCTGCCCTTTCTCTGCCCTACTAACCCATGGCTGCAGGGATGGTGACTGTGGAGAGCTGGTTCTGCTGGACCCCATCAACAAGACTTGGGGGTGATGAGCAAGGGCATAGCTGTGCTGGGGATGATGGGCAGCTGAGAGAGGAGCACTGGGGAGGGGCACACACTCCCTACAACCTCTGCCTGGTGCTGCACTGCACCGCCCCGGCTCTGAAAATCACACTTCAGCCCAAAATATGTTGAGGGGAGATCTACTTGCAACAAGAATAAATTTTACTCTGCAACTGAAAAATTGTTTTAAGCACAGAAATGGCAGTTCGTCTGGGTTTGCATTTTTAACTGGCTTTTTACTGACAGCTCCTTTGCAGTGCTCCTGTAAGAGATTTGGGAGCATGGCTTCGTGCTGCACGGAGCAGCATCCCTTGGGAAAACCACATCACCAGCTGCAGCAGCAGTGTCAGGTTACATCACTGCAATGTCCTCCCACCAAAAAACCCTCCACACCGCTAGCTGACTGGTTTTGGGTGAGCACATTATGGCCTGCTCCTCTTTGCACTGGTAAATCCTGTTGGATATCGGTTGTGGTTTGATCCCAAGCTGTGCACGCAGCCCTCAGTTCCGGGGCGATGCTGCCCCATCCCTCGAGGCTCTGTGGGCCTGGCCACGCTGCCAGCTGGCTGCTGGCCCATCACCACTGTGCCCACAGAGCACCTCACACCCCCCACGTGCCCACGCTCCCATGGGGCATCCTGTGCTACCCAGTTCCATTGGGCACAAGAAAACCCAGAGAAGCTCCAGAGACAAGTGCCACTCATCCCATTTGATCCAGACACAAATTCTCTCAGACACAGGCTTTCTCCAGGGACAAACAGTGACACTGCCTGCAGACAACCAGGACACGGCGCTCCAAGTGTGCTTCAAATATTCCAGTCCTCATGCACATCCCAGCCTATCCTTTTGGGATCAACGCAATTCCTTGATCCCAAACAGCGCGTGTGTCCTACATCAGCCACAGTTCTGCTGTTCAGCACAGGGCTCACACACAAAGCCTCCTCCCACTGCTCTGTCCTCATCCCCATCTCCTGGTTGATTTTCTTCCTGTTGTGCAGAGTGGACTTGATCATCATTTCTGGGAAGAGACATCACTGTGGTTAAACTGCCTAAACACAAGTGTGGGAATCCAGAGCCAGCCTGGCTTTGAACTTGGCAGTATTTGATCTCTGGGATGCTTTTGGAGCAATCTGGAGTGTCATCTTCCTCTTTGCAGGACAAGGGCGCCGGGGCAGTCGGATGCGGGCTGCACATCTGGGTGGAGGGAGTTGCACATCTGGTACATTCAGTACTTCCTAAAAGTCACTGCCACGTTACCCTTTGGACAGGGGCCTGGGGCTCGCTGCATAGCACAGCAGATCAGGATCTGCAGCTGCATTCCTTCTGAAGGGAAAGCAAAAATATCCCTCTCAGCAGAGTCCCAGCTCCCTGTAACATCCAGCATGGGAGCAGGGGGGCTGCACGGAGACCACGACCTTTCCACAAGCCATTCCGGCAGCTGCAGAGGCTCCTGCTGCCAGCCGAGGCACAGAGCAGCCGGCTTGGGAATGCCTCCCTGGGGCCCTCAGACCCGTGCGGCCTCCCCGGCAACACCTTGTCCTTGTGCCAGCCAGAGGGGCTCGGGCTTGTGCCCCCCATGGCCAGGGCGGCGCTCACACACGTCCCTGCCCGTGCGGGCTGATCCACGCAGGGCCCAGCACCGGCGGGGCCGCTCCTGCCGAGGGGCACGGCGCGGGTGTCGCTGCCGTCCCCGGTGTCACGGACACACACACACACACACCAAACCCGCGCCCTGCCCGCAGCGCGGGTGTCTGTCTGTCCCCGGCACGCTGGAAGCACGGACACCGCAGCGCCGCCCGCATCCCGGCGCGGCTGCGGATGATCCGCGAAAAGCCGGGCAATGGGGACATCTAGTGACCAGCCAGGCAGGGCTGGGGGAGATGCCTTCCATCCCTGTGGCCAGGGAGCAAATGGAATGAAGCATTCATTCATCCCTGCCGCACCACACAGAGATCCCCAGAAACTCTACCTCTGCCCGTACAGGAGGCTGGAAATTACCCTTGGTAATGGAGCATAAACCGGGAATTAATATAATTAATATAATTAAAAGTGACTATCATGGATACAGTAACAAATGCTGGAATAACAGTTCAAAGAGAGTATGAAATTCAGAGTCTCCCCGGTGAAAGTCACTTTCCCTTAGGGGAAACAGTCTATTTTTTTTTTCAGCCTTATTCTGTACTAGAGGGAAAAAATGCACAGAACAATACTCCAAACAATTTTGGGAGCACGATAAGGATATGCGGGGGGAGTGGGGACCTTCAGCTGAGGCTAAAGGGCTGAGCACAGACCTCAACTGGCCCCTCTCTGATGGAGACCCACACACTCCAGAGACAGGAGGAGGCATTGGACCAATACTTTCCAGTCAAAGTCAAAATATCCCCCTAAATAACTCATTTCTAAAGAGTTTGACTGAGTTGGTTGCTTCCAGAAATGTTAAATCATTCTGGCTGGATAACACTGCATTGTTCTGGGAGAGAAAAGCAATGTACTAAAGCTATTCAGTTGATTAACTGGGACATTCACCTTGTACTGAATATTCACTGCAAAATTCGACTTTTTTTTCCCAGTGGCACGACTGTGGACGCATCATCACAGTATTTTAAGTTAATCTAAAATGGAAACCCAAGACCTATCACAAATCAAAGCAAAACACTGAGGCTCCTTCCAAAGAAAACAGCAAATCTCCTTTTGAGTCATCCCAAGGAAAACAAAGCTGAGTTTGATACATTCTTTGTAATTTTGTTGTTATCCTTGTTGATATGAACATGCTCCCAGGAGATGCTGCAATGGTTTCAACACCTCTTTCTCCAAAGTTAGCACAAGCCCAGATGATGAAGGATAAGCTGATTCCCACATAACACTGAGTTTCATCTTTTTTTTTTTCCTTTTTAAATTTGCAAAATAAGCTTGGCAATGTGACCCCCAAAGAAAAGTTGTGAAGTCACGGAGAGTGCCAGGAGGAGGGATGCTTCAGGTTGTCCTGTGCAGTATCAGGAGCTGGACTCGATGATCTTTGTGGATCCCTTCCAGCTGAGGATATTCCTGGATTCTGTGACTGTGCAGTGCTCCTGTGAGGTGACCCAGTGACTGCTGCTGCTCGGACTGTCCCTTATCCCCCTGTGGCCGCATCCAGCATTCCCTGGAGCACTCCCATGAGCACACATCCTCGTGGCAGCACAAGCCTTGACACAGCGTCTTGGACACCTGCCTGATGCCAGAGCAACACTCACATCCAGCCTCTTCTGCCTCAGCCCTGATTCCTGGGGTGGCCTTCCTGCAGCCTGGCTGGGCGATGGATGCCTGGCAGTGGGCTGGGATGGGGATGGTACCCAGAAGGGGCGCTGTCCCTGCGTTCGCTGGTGTGGGGATGGGTGCAGAGGTATTGCTGCAGTCTGCTGCCCCTCTGCAGCAGCCTCTGAGCTCAGCTGCATCTGGCAGACCCAACCTGGCATTTGCTATTTTTGGCAGCACTCTCTCTGTGGAGGTGGGGAACGGCACAGGAAGCACACACACACACACACACAGAGCAGGGGAATTCAGGGCAGCCGTGATCTGCAGGCACTGTGCAAAGCCATTTCTGTGTCCAGGATGCTGTCACACTCCCCAGCCTTCCCCAGGTGTCTGAATCCCACAGCCTTGTCGGCCTGGGATGGATTTCTCAGTCTTGGTCAACGTGATTCTGCTGCTGCTGTGCCTCCATCTTCTCCTCATGAAGAAGCTCTCCTCGTGCTCCAGCTTGTCCTGCAGCTCCACAGAGGAGCTAAGAGCGGCAGGATGGGCTGGCTTCCTCCATACACCATCCCCCTCTGACGAGACAGCACCCCACGGGCAGGCTGCCATGGAGTGTGGTGGAAATGGGATGGATGGGAAGCTTTTGCCCTGGCTCACCCCCCAGGCCACCAGGGTGGTTATTTTCACTGGGTCTCACACACATAAATTTCATTCTTCCAACAGATAAAACACTTGTTCTAAAGCAGAATGAGGAACAGGAGAAAATGAGAAGTGCCCCCTGCCAACAGCTGACTCACCACCTTGACAGGGGGGTTCGTGCTTTGCTGGCCAGTTGGTGACTTGGAGGAGGCCCTGTTTGGTGCCTGCCTCCCTCCCTCCATCCTCAGCATCAGCACAAACACACGGGGGAGGCGACAGCAAAGGCTGCCAGCTCCACCTGAGCCCCTCAGCACTCCCCACAGCACCTGAGCTCCTCTGGACGGGGAACCAGGGGATGCTCTTGAGCTTGTGTGGCTGCTGGGGCCACCCAAAATACACAGCTGAACCCAAAGTGCCAGGGAGAGCAGCGCAAGCAGTTGGAGACAGGCAGCAAAGCACCTCATGGAGGATCTGGGAGCACCTGGGAGCACCTTTCAGCCACAGAAGCCTGGAATGCTGCAGACAGCTGAGCATGAACAGGTTTCAGGATACCTGGGCAGAGCAAACCCTGATGCTCAGCGGCACCACCTTCACCTTTCTGGGCTCCTGGGCTGGCTCTCATCCTCACCAGCTCCCTGCTGGAGCCCACAGCCCTCTGCCCATCCTTGGCCCCACGGATGCAGTGGCATCACCCAGGATCCCTGACACAGCCTGAGTGTTGAGCAGGCAGTGCTGGAGACAGGAGGAGAAGTGGCCCAGCATCCTGGCAGGAGAAGGGTCGGAAACTGCCAGTGGTGCCTGCTCAGTGGTACTGAGGGCTGAAGACAGGGAAAGGCCCAGGAAGTCTTGGGGCTCACCTCAAAAAACAATGCATTTTCCATGTGGTACAGTGCAAAAATGTACTGTGTGGCTGCCTCAGCTGTCTGGGGACACAGTGTATCGTGGTCCCCTCATGTGCAATCTGGGAAAAGGGACAGTCAGGAATTAACAAATGAAAAAATGTACATTTCCCTGCTGGAGAGGCAGGAGAGAGAAGAAAAGCCGGGAAGCAGAAGGCAGGGCTGGGCAGAGAGGGTCTTGGGGAAGGGTGTGGGAGACACACATGGCAGATACGTCCAGACAAGGGGGCAGTGAAAGATGATGGTTGTCACACCATAACTTATGAATTAATCTCAGGGAAAACCAAAGGATTATGCAAGTCAAATACTCTCCCTTTGGAAAAAAAAAAGAAAAAACAGAAAGCATGGAATCACTCAGGAAGTGCATTGGTCATTTCTCTAAAAAAATGAAAACAAAAAAAAAATTATGATGCTGATGAGAAATAATAATAGTAGTAATAATGATAATAATAAAAAATGGAGAACTCTTGCACACAACCCCTACCTTCCCTCCAAGTAGCTAAAAAGGTGTGGAAGGATGCAGAGGGAAGGATGGGGCTGGCATTGTTGGGGCGACCCAGGAGAAGAACAATCGGAGCCCATCAGTACCAGAGCTGCACAGACATTTATTGAACACAAACAACGACAAACACAGCTGGCTCACAGAGCTTCCTGAGGTTTTGCTTGTGGGGGATTGCCAAAAGAGTGCTTTCAAAGGCCCCTGGGGGTGTGAGTCCCATACAGCTGAGTTCTTCCCACTTCCAGGTGCTTGTTAGTTAAAAAAGAAAAGAGCATTTGTGTGTATCTGTGTGTCTGTGATTGCCTTAGCTTAGCAGGAAAATGGGCTTGTCTGGACCATGCCATGTTCCAAGAGAGAAGCCTGCAGGCTGAACCCGTACTTGGCTTCTGCTTCCCAAATAACACAGGGTGAAAAGTATGCCCTTACCCTAAGGGCAGGGGCGTGAGGCGGCGAAGGTGAGCCAGGACAAGCAAGGGGGAGCACCAAAGGAAGGAGGGTGAGAAAAATGAATTCGTCTGAAACATGCACAGCTCTGGGTGGCATCATTATGTCCATACGCTACAGAAAGTACCGCCAACATCAACTCAATGTACAGGTAGCTATGCTAGACTGACACTAGAGACCCCGCCAGCTCCTGAAGTGTTGCCAAGTGAGAGAAAATAAACAACGCCCCCCCCCTCCCCCACCCCGCTGTCCCCTAGAAGCAGATGAAGCAGATGAAGAATTAACACCCTAACGCTGAAAACAAGGACCATAACCAAAGAATTTGGGAGCAGCTTCGGGAGCACAGATTAAAGAGCTTGTAAAGAAACGTTCCAGTGTGTGCATACGCGCCTGTGTGTTTATATATATATATATATATATGTTAGTAAAGAAAAGAGTATCTGTGGAGGCAAAGGGAAGACGGTAAATGTACAGGCAGTACAGGCTGGGTGGAGTGCCGGTGGCTGGAGAGGGTCGGGTGGTGCGGAGTGGAGGATGGTGGGTGGAAATTAGAGTGCGCCCATTCCAGTGACCTCAGACGTCAGCCTAGAATAGACAGGGGCAGAGAGAGGGGTGGGGGGGAGACAAAAAACAAGCGCTTAATCACCAGAGCAGAAAAGAAAACGAAGACCCTGCAGGGCAGCGCTCCTCCTCTTGCCCAGATCCCGTGTAGATGGAGTGGGCAGAGCATCACTGGGTGGCCTGGCGGTCCCCCGAGGAGGGCATGGGGGGCTGGAGCACAGAGCCAGCAAAATGGCTGGCTGGCTTTCCCTCTCCTCACTGCAGCTGGGCCGCGGCAGGGGTGTCACTCACCAGAGGTGCTGGCAGGAGTCATCCCAGAGCACAGCTTCTTTTCCAGCAGCATCCCTTCACGGGGGACAGGCAGCTGCGCCAGCTCCCCAGGCTGCTTTGTTTTGCTCTGGTTGAGAGAGGCTGAGCCCTGTTGCGCTGCCCCACCAGGTCACCTCTGCACAGGGGCAGCTCAGCCTGCCCTTCCCAGCAACTCAGAGCCACTTCTTTTTCTTTTCTTTTTCCTGTCTCAGGGAGGGTGGGGGGACACTGGCAAGGATCTGCAGGGAAGCCACTCAGCCATGCCCGCGGGTGGGGGGCTGGCCCCGTCCCTCACCTGAGCAGGGCGAGGGGTGCCACGGGCATGGGCAGCGGGATAGCAGGGCAGGATGGGATGGCGGGGGTCTGCTACGGGTCGGGGCTCGAGTGGGTTGGGTGCAAGGAGGAGAAAGCACATACAGACCTCACCGGTGCTCCCAGCCCACACCCCAACAAGTGTCCATCACCGCCAGCAGCCCCCTGTCCTCGGGGCCCTGCCAGCAGCCTCCGTCCTGCGCGCATCCGGGGCTGGCAGCGGGCTGGCACGGCATCAATCCTGCCCAGGCGGATGGGCCCATTTGAGTGGCTCTGCCAGGTGGGTGCAAAGATACCAGAAAGCTCCTGCATCCCCTTAAACTCACTTCCCACAAGTCCACAGACACAGGCAAACAGGTCTGAGTGAGCACCCTGGACACAGCTCCCTGCCTGCATGGAACAGGTCCCCAGCTCATCTCTGCAGCTACGCCTCACCACGGCACAGGCTGCGTCTCTCCCCAGACGGCAGCAGTGCTGGGAACCCTTGGCCCCTGTGAAGTCCTGCAGTGCCAAGCTTTTCATGATGAAAAGGAAGCAGTCAGGCCATTCCCATGTCCTGTGTTTACTGGACTGATTGTTGTCACTGAATGGAGGAAAGCCTTTTGGAGGCCTGGAAGCACGTGGAAGAGGCAGTAAGCGATGCTGGGATCCCAGCAAGCAGGTCCCAAGTGACGCCTCCCTGCCAGTGGCTCAGCTCCATTCCTGTCCCCGTCCCCTGCCTCATTCACAGGAAAGACAGCAGCAACTTTGCCCACCCATGAGCAAAATCCTTGAGCGAGGGTGGAGGGAAGGCAGGTGCCCGGCACGACCTGTGGCCGCTCCGCCAGCAGCATGGTGGCTCCTGGTCCCCAGCCAAAGTGCCAGCTGAGGCCAGATGTCCTGCTGGCAGTGTCTGGTCCCTGCTCAGAGGTCTTAGCAAGACACCGTCCATCCCAGCCGGCCTCAGGAAGCCCCTGCTGGCCCATGGCACCGGGATGGAGCATGGGGTGCTCCCAGCGAGCCAGCGGGACGGGATGGGCCGTGGTGGGAGGCGGTGGAGGTCGGCAGGGGGTCTCACCTGGCGTTGATGAGGTACTGCGCAAGGCTGATGTTTGCAGGGGTTCCTGTGATGGTAATTTGGCGCTCCGATGACCCTTCCGTGGCGTTGGCGATTTTGATCTGCGCTCCCGACATCTGCCGAATTTCATTGATTTTGGTCCCTTGGCGTCCGATTATGCAGCCTATTAGCTAGGAAAGAAAGCACGGAGGGAATGTCTGAGAAGCAGCAGCTCTGGCAGTCACCAGCAGGACGTGAGCACGCCTGGGACAAGAGTGACCTTAATGCTCATGAAAACGGGAGAGGGACAGCCCAGGGTGATTCCCACCAGCACGTGAGCACAGTCCTCCAAGGACACATCCAGAGTCCTGCCCTGCTCTGCTCCTTGTGGGGACGAATCTCCATTATCTGCACATGATGCCCAGCACCTCAGAGGGCTTCAAGGAGGGCTCATTTCAGCAATAATAATTTTCATGGTTTAATGAATGGTCAATGTTTTGCAAGTACTTATCCCCTTCCCAGTCAAAGCAAACCCAAAGGTGGTTTGGACACATTACTAGAAGGAAACAAGCCTGCTGCCTTCACTGGGGACAGGCCAACCCCAGGAGTCCCCTCATCAGCTGGTGCAGTGACCCCATCCCACATTTCTTCTATCCCACTGAGACACCCTCAGTGCCTCTGCTACCCCCTCCAGCTCTTTTGGTGCAATCCAGTGGCTCGCCAGCAGGCACAAGTGGCACCCACAGAAAAGGTGGACTCTGCATAAAAACACGTCTTTCATACTCTTCTGAAAAAATGAGAGCCAGATGGAGACTTGAATTTCCTCAACTGTTCATCCCTTGAATTTCCTCCATGATCCTCAGTGTTTTGAATTTCTTCAATGGTCTTTGCTCATTTATGCATCTTCCTCAAATCATCTCCAAAGCCTGGTAACACATACGGGGATATCCAGCTTGACCAATACAGGCATGAAGTGCTCTGCATGCCCTTTTAGGCTGCTTAAGCTCTTTTCCAAGGGCATTTTATAGATGGGATGTTCATCTTGGCAGCTGCTGGATTTCTGTACAGTATAAGTAAAGATGATTACTCCTCCAAATACTCCCTGATCCTTTGATCAGACCATGGGGCTGCCATGGTGGTTTATCCCATATGGACCTGAATATACACTGGAAAGGTATCCATTGTCCCAGGGTCTGTGGGAAGATGTTCAGCCCATCCTGGTCTTCACATCACAGAAATAACTCCAAGCTGGTTCAGCAAATGAAAATCTGCTGGAGAGACCTGAGGAGCCAAACTATTTAAGCAGATGCTCAGCTACACCCAAGCTGAACAACATTCAAGTTTCTGACAGTCAGAGGAGCAGCAAGATGGGTATCATCTGATTTCATTCTGCTGTAGCACAACTCCAAGCTACACCACTAAAACACACCTGGTGACTCTTAAAGGAACACAAACCTGTCCTCTGCTTCCTGAGAGGGTGTCAGTGGGTGTTTAAAAGCCTTTGAAACAACAATGGGGAGAGCTAAGGAGCAGTTTTTCAAGGTCCAGGTGATAACATCTAATATCTCCCAGGTCTGGCGAGAGCTCGGCCTCTGGTGAGTGAACGCTCCAAGTGCTCCTGAGTTCTCAGAGGTCTCCTGGCATCCTTTCCTCCCATGTGAGTTCTTTTGCACGGGGTCTCTTCATATTTCTGAAGATACCTTCACTGCTACAGTCTTGCATGCTCAGCAGACATGGCTGCTGGAACCTCAGGAGCGCTTGCAGAGCCCTCTGCAGCTTCCGGACAGGGGTCCTTGCTGGGTGGAGCAGATCTGGGATCAGCCCCCACTGTCTGCTCTGCAGATCCCTCCCGTGGTGATTTGACCCAGGGTGAAGCATCTCCAAGGGTTTCAGCCAGCAGGTGCTCACAGGCTCTTGCACTGCATGTCTCTTTGGTGGACACAAGTCTTGGCAGAGGCGCCTGGCAGCTGCAGCTGGGATTGCTGACCTTCCACGGCACTGCCAGCTGCTGGTGAACAGCAGGAAGAAAGAGCAACTGCTGCCAGGCCCTATCCAGAGACTCCTGATGGGGATGGGCTAAAGGTGCTTGTTAGTGATGGACATGGGAATGGAGACTGGATGTCATGCCTCCACTTGCCCTCATCCTGATTTGAGCACAGACTGGGTCTTAATCCATAGAAACCAGTCCAGAAGCAAGTGAGGCTCATGGATCCAGGTGGTGGCTGTGTCATGCTCTCCATCCCACCTCCTCCCAGCTCAACATGGCTCCAGCCTCCTCCCAGCAAACATCCCAGTCCAGCACCCATGTTACCACAAAGCTTCCACCTATCAGACCTCACAGCTGCCTGCCAGCAGTACTGAAACACACTGTCCTTCAGACACTCATGTGGCACTTTGTGGCATCAGAAATGTCACTTACTTACCTCCTCTCCCCCACCACCCCACCCCATCACTACCCTTGAGCTGGAATATCATCTCAGACCCGTCACGGCCTGATTAAGCAATTAAGAGTTAATTCAGAGCTGGCATGGGAGCTCTCTCCCTTTCCCAATGCTATCAACTGGGCATGTTTCATGAGCACTGAGTTCACTTGGAAAGGAAAATGGAGCATTAAGGATTGCACCTGGGCAAGCTACCGACGGAGTAAAGTCCAACGGGCGCTTTGTGCTGCAGACTGATCCCCAACCGACTGCACAAGGATGAGGGAATATGGGGAAGGGACATCTCTAAATATATTTAACAAAGCCAAATGGCTGCACATTATACATAGACACATGTATGTATATATATGTATGTGTATATACACACACACACACACATGGACATGCCAAGGAAGCACTTGGATTTACTTACATCATTGGGAATGGTGAGTTCATGAGTACTGGCCGGGGGACTGGCATCCAAACCTGGGCAGATGCAAGGGAACATGGTTAGAGCTGGCAGAGGCAACGCGATGAAGCTCCGCTGCTTTCCCGCAACACTGCCAAGGCTGCGTCCTGCTCCGGGCTGGGAGGGGAAGGGGATCACACACTCCGGGACAAGGAGGAGGAAGACAGTTGCTACCTGACTCTGCTGGAGCTGGGTGTCACCTTCCCTGCATCCCACGAGTGCCTCGCTTCCCACCCTTCATCCTATCCACTGGGAATGGCTTCAGAGGAGGGTGCAAGGTTCCAGCATCAGCGCAGAGAGGTGGGTTAAGCACCTCCCACAGAGCAGCAGAGAGCATGCCGGCTGGGACACCCACCTGCTCCACAAGAATGCTGTCCATGCACCCTCCAGCCCCCTCTGGATGGAGCAGCAGTGAGCTGCTGGCATGTGACAGCAGCTTGGTGCCCCAAAACCAACGTCCCTGCGGGATCCGGCAGCACAAGTCCTCTGCAAGTTAAGTCCCACAGACTCTCATGCTGAATATGAGTCAGACTGTTAAGACATGCAACCTAGCTGGACCAGGACCACCTGTCCCTCTTATTCCTAAGAGAAAGAAAGGTGAACAGTATGGAGATTTAGATCCTGCTTCCCTCCAAAATCACACAGTGAGGAGCAAAGGCAGGGGCATGCTTCCTCCCACCCTCCCCTGGGTCAGGGAGAGCTCTCTCCTCCATGGTGGGAATGGCTGGAGCCAGCAGGATACCCTGTGAATGCAGCTCCAGAAGTAAGAGGACACCATGCCATAGTGCTCCTAGGTTCCCATATTAAATCACCTCAGTGCCAAAGCAGGGATGTCCTGTGTGAAATCTGCAAGAAAGAAGCTGTATGGTGCCTGACAGGAATTTGCAGTAACTGGAAAAAAACCCCTTATCCTTATGATATAAACCACTGATGAAAGCTTGTAAGAGCAGAAGAGACTGCCAGATCTGCATCCATGGAAAGAGGGTGGTTAAGGAGGTGCAGAATGAAGAAGCGCAAAGAGACTGGAACTGCAGGGCTCCTGTAAAACAAGACAGCAGCAGCACCCAATTCCTCACATATTTCCATGGAGGGCCTCAGCACAGAGGAAGAGGAGCTCTGGTTATCTCTGATATGCTCATGCATGATCTTAGGATGTTAGGAAGTGAGGGTGAGGAGGCCCTGGCACCAGTTGTCCAGAGAAGCTGTGGCTGTTCCATCCCTGGAAGTGTTCACGGCCAGGGGAGATGGGATTTAGAACAACCTGCTCTAATGGAAGGTGTCACTGCCCATGGCACGGGGGTAGAACAAGATGGGCTCTAAGGGCCCTTCCAATCCAAACCATTCCATGATTGTGTGACAACGTACTTCCTGTGCTTTCCTGAATGCATCTTCCCAGATACACATTGCTGACATTTGCCTGCAGGAGGCTTCCTCACCAGACTTTCCACTTGGGACCACAGAGAGGAGAGGAATTGCAGGGAATGAGGATGCAAATCCTCCAGCTGGCAGCCCTCTGCTGTCATTCACCCCTGCCAGGGGTACTAATGCCAAAGCCTGCACAAAACATCTCCTGCCCAGGTATTACACCACAGTCAATGCTCGATGCTGCATTTACAGCACACACTTCACCTGGACCGGCCGGTACACTGAGCCTCCTCACAGTGTGGGGCAAGGTGGACTGCAGCCATCACAGACATATCCCTCTGGTGAGGGTGTCCCTCTCCTTTGGCCATGTGTTACAAGGCTCAGTTCAGCAGCAGCCTGGGTGTGGCAGAAAATGTCTTCCAAAGGGAGCAGAGCACCAGTGAGGGCTCTGAGCAGCACTGAGGCATCCAGGGATCTTAGGGAACACAAACTAAGCTCCTCAGACTCCTAGGCAGCATCCTCCATCCCACACTCAGATGACATGGATGATGCTGAAAGCCCTTGCAACACCAGGTGCCATGGCACTGCACCATCCCTCCATCACACAGCCTTTGAGGAAAGGCCACATTCTTCTCCATGATCTGGAGACTGTTTATTTCATCACTCCAGATCCTCCTTTTCTGATATGTACAAGCAGTCCTTGAGGCTGTAACAAGGGTGTCAGGGCAGGGTTAATGCCTTGGGTGACTGCAAAGGGCAAAGGGGGCATGCAGAAAACATGGCTGCACAGGTCGGTGTCATGAAATCTGTATTTCTGCAATCTTGTGGGGTCTATTTGCTCGGGCTACGCTTGCTTTCATAATTAGGTGCTGTCACCAAACCTTTCAGGCATGCATGGGATGTCTGTGTGCCCTACGTCTGGCTCATCCTGCCTGTGAGCCTCCAGGTCTCAAGATAGCTCCTCTATGCAATGGTAGAAAACAAAAGACAAATCTTTTTCTTGCATACGGATGAATATGGCACATCTGACAACAAAATTTCTCCAAGGCTGCAGCCATGCTTCGGGTGGGTCCTCAGGGTCCTGTCCCACTAAAATTGCAACTCACCCTGAATGGCTCGGAGCTGCCTGTCACGGCTGTTCCCATCAGCACTGTTCTGTTGCTTCTGAGCAAAGTTTATGCAAAATTAAATGCAGGAATAAGGGTGATGACTCCGGTATCTTCCTGGTACACAGACAGCATTGAGGGAGACCTCACCACACCTGAGGGGCAGCACAGATCTCTGCTCTCTGTGGCCAGGGACAGAACTCGAGGGAACAGCATGAAGCTGTGCCAGGGGAGGATCAGGCTGGACATCAGGAAAAGGCTCTTCCCCCAGAGGGTGCAGGGGCACTGACCAGGCTCCCCAGGGAATGGGCACGGCATCAAGGCCGCCAGAGCCCAAGGAGCATTTGAACAATGCTCCCAGGCACACGGTGGGATTGTTGGGGTGTCAGTACAAGGCCAGGGGTTGGACTGCATGAGCCCTGTGGGTCCCTTCCAACTCAAGATATTCTGTGGTTCTATGGCAATTGCACAAAAACATTACAGAGCCAGGTAATAAAGCCCAGGCACTTTTGCTTTGACATGCTGCACAAGGAGAACGGTGCTGCCTGATCTCTTCCTGCACACCAAGACAATCTGCTGTTTTCTCCATGAATACCATGATTCCTCTCGGAGCACAACAACGGCACAGTCCTATTTACGGAATACATTTCAACCAAAGCCTGCTTACTTCCTTCTAGCTTTGTGTTTTACCTGATGACTGGCCCATCAGATTTTGAGCTTCTTCGGAGGAATGTAAGGGCAGCTTTTCTCCTGAAGAGCAAAGAAGAAACAGGTTTAATGCTTTTCCCTTCAAGGAGATAAGCAATGTCACTTCATCTAGGAAGCTCAAAATATGATGAACATACTGTCAGAACAGTAATTTCCAAGCAGTACTTTATGTACCTCCATCCCCTGTGCTCTATCTGCTTCCCAGGTCACCAGGAACATGCCGGCCTTGAGGACAAGGCTCGGGCCATGCTGGGGCTGGCTGTCCTCCCATCAGCGCAGCCCCCTCCGGCCATGCCTCCTTCCCACCGCGGCAGCTCCATCCTGCCTGGCTCAGCACCGCTCCCCGCGGCAGCACGCCCGGCCGGCCCGAGCCGCTCCTGCCGGGAGGGTGCCGGTGTCCTGCCGGGAGAGCCCGGGCCTTGTGCCGGGAAAGCGCGGGTGTCCCGCCAGAATCTGGAGTGGCGCGGGGCAGAGGATGCCGCCTCCTTCGTGGAAGGAAGGAGGGAGGGATGGTGCGCACGGCCTCTGCTGGGAAAGCCCAGGCTGAGAGCTCGCCCTGAGCACCACAGCCCCCCACAACATCCGTCAAGCCTCTCCTTAACCTCTCCCCATGGATATTGCTGCTTTTTACTCGCCCTGCTCATTTCCATTAAACAACAAGAGTTTAGAAAGAGAGAGAAAGTCTACAGGTAAGAGAAGGATATCTTGAAAGGGTGTGTGGGTACGTACCAGGGAAAGCGGGGGTGGTCTGTCCAAGGGGAGTAAAGGGGGTTTGCTGCATAGCCAACTGGTGGAGCTTGGTCAACTGCTGAGGGGTAGGAGGGACATTAGAGCTAAGAAGGTTATTGTCATAGAGTACAACAAGTCACACCAAAAAGCAAGAACAAAATTATAACGGGGCGGGTGGGGGAAAAGGAAAACAAACTTAAAAATAAAAATTAAAAAAAAAAAACAAAAAAAAAAACTAAACCAGGAAGCCATGGTGAGACATGGCAAAAACATTAGCAGAAAGGACTTGGCCTGGGTATAGTGCAATAAAGCCCAAATCTTTGGCAGAAGTGCTTGGTCAGGGTCTGAAGTACGATACCAGCAAGAAGCCCATTCTTAGTGTCAGTTCAACTCCTCTGCCTCCGTGCAGGCCAGCTGGTGGGCGTCACAGCCAGCAGCCAGGAACCCTCTTTGTGCCACCAGAGCCACATTGTCACCGCTTGTCCCCGCAGCACACATTCCTGTGCTGTGCCTCCAATTGGAACGGCCTCTCCCAACGGGAGATGGATAAACCACATTTCTAAATGCCAGCTCATTAGAAATATGGGGAATTATGGGCTTCAGTCATGACCAGTAGGTATTTCAGATCCTTGTATCCCTTGTTGTGCTGAGGAGGTTTGGCTGCCTGGTCAGAGAGTTTCATAGGGAGAGAGGTGTTTGTTTGGAATACATTTTGTGCTCAGTTTTACTGCTCTAAATTAAAAAAAAAAAAAAAAAAACAACAAAAAAACTACCAAATAAAACAAAAAACCAAAAAGACAGGAAAAGAAAAGAAAACAAACCCAACTGGGCTGAAGACTGGCAGTGAGCAGGAGGGGAGACTCTTTACAACCTCCCACTTTCACAGGTGCTCTGGGGGTTTTCAGCACCGTATCACCCCCTAAATTTAAACTGCTTCTTTTGCCCATCATCCCTGGCAATGGGGAGGCAGGAGTTATAGTTTCAATGTTTTGGGGGGCAACAAGACTCAAATGTCTCCTTGCTGCTGCAGCAGGGCTAGGGAGGGAGAGTGAGGAGGTCTGGCTGGCAGCAGTGAGGGGGAAATGCTGGGAAGAGCTGACCTGGGGGCCTGAGCACACTGGGGGAGGCTGGAGGGAAGCAGCAGGAAGGAGTGAAACACCTGAAAATTCCTGGACAGGTTACCTGTGGGATCCCTGTCCTGTCTGGAGAGGCATGAGGACACCCAGCCTCTGCTGCCTCAGGGGAGAGGTCTCACCACACCACAAAAAGAGGTGTCTGCACATCTCTGTGCCTATTTTGGCTGTCTTTGGCTTACTTTAGCCAAAGGTGTGATATGACGGGCTCCTGCCACAACACAGCTGTCTCCAGATAACACTGGGCATGCTACTGCTCCTGCAGGGAGCAGGGACATCAGCATCTAATGCTTTTTAACTTCAGAACTATCCTGGAGCTGCACCCTGTTTCTGGAATTCCTTGTGACACCTGGTCCCACTGGCAGGACTCCAGATGAAATCTCTTTGCCCAGTGGGCTCCAGCCATGCCCTGGGACAGGGGTCCTGCTTTGCCACGTGGGGAAGACCAAAATCTTTTCTAACACTGACCTAGTAGACCTTCCAGACATAGTTCAGATAGTGGTATTTATGCAGCCCCTGCAATTAGAGCAACAAACAAGTCTAGGAGAGGAGAAGATGGCTGCATCCAGGTGCCATGGAAAAAGCTGCTACGTCCATCTCTTCTAGCTCATCCCCTCTGCTCTGGTGAGACTGTACCTGAGGTACTGCATCCAGCTCTGGGGACTCCAGCACAGGAAGGACATGGATCTGTTGGAGTGAGTCCAGAGGAGGTCACGGAGATGCTCCAAGGGGCTAAAGGGGGTCCAAGAGAGCTGGAGAGGGACTTTGGACAAGGGCCCGGAGTTACAGGACAAGGTGGCTTCACACTGACAGAGGGCAGGGTTAGATGGGATTCTGGGAAGAAATCCTTCCCTGTGAGGGTGCTGAGGCCCTGGCACAGAGTTCCCAGAGAAGTTGTGGCTGCCCCTGGATCCCTGGCAGCACCCAAGGCCGGGTTGGACGGGGCTTGGAGCAGCCTGGGACAGTGGAAGGGGTCCCTGCCCATGGCAGAGGTTTGGAGCGAGATGAGTTTTAAGGGTCTTTCCAACCCAAGCCAGTCTCTGACTCTATGATCCCGCAGCTTTTGGGACAGCAGGCAGCTACCCATCACATCCCTAACAGCCAAAAACACCCAGGCAATGCTAAAGCCCCTTATGAGCCAAAGCTTCCCCTGTCCTGGAGTGCTTCTCCAGGGACAAAATCATGGCAGGAGAACACACCGGGCATTCAAAATTCTGCCCATTTTGCAAAGGGCAGCCACTAAACACAGACACCTAAAATGTGTTTAAAATGCCCTAAAAGCACATTCAAGACTGGATTCTGCACTGAACATTGTTTGAAAGGACCAGTCATTGAAAGAACAACCTGAGAGTAAGGATGTGAGTAGCCCCTCTACCAACAGCTTTATTCAGGAAATTTGCTGGGAGCGGGGCACAGTGCAGTCAGCAAATGTATTTTAATCCTGACAATCAGAGGAATATAGGAACAAGGAAAACACTGAGCTGTTGGCACCACTTGCAAAGAAAAACTGGGATAAAGACTGCATTGATCTATCCTAACTATACAGGTTATTTTGTTATATTCTGCTTTTGGAGGAAAAGCAAAGAGTACACAATGAGGAATATTTCTTATCAACCATCACAGCAGGCTCTTCAGAGTACACACATACTGGTGTCACAAGCCAAAGCCTGGATTCCTCTAATTCCAGTGAAAACATTTCTCCTAGGATGAAAATCCAGCCTGTAGCTCCCTAATGTTCCCATGCGGGGCAGGCATTCATGGTATCAAACAGCCTTGCCACCTTCTCAACCACGGGAAAAGTAATTCCATTATTTAGTACCCAACGCACTCACTGGAAAAGGGAACTCTGAGCTGCATCAACCCCGTGCCACGGGTGATTGACTGGAGAAGACTTTCCACCTACTGCCACATCCTCAGCCCCACTGCAGAACCCTGCCTCACAGCAGGAAAGACCATCTGCAATGGGACCTGATGGGTATTTTATCCCCTTGGAAACACATTTAGAAAGTCCCTGCCTTTTCTAAAAGCCATGACCACCTCAGAAGCTGAGCTTCACTGCTTTCCTCAAAGAAATCCTCCACACGGACTGATTTTCTATTTCCCTTGGTAATTTCAGGTGCACACATTCCAGCTGTCGATCCCTCCATGTCCCCCCACAGGCATGGGAGCCCAGGGGATGAGCCCAAGCCTCAGTGAGAGCAGCTCAGAGCAGCTCCTGTCTCTGCCCCAAGGAGCCCGAGGTGAAGTGGGGGCTGTCCCCACGCTGCCCTGCCACCCACAGCAGCGAGACAGCCACCAAATCCGGGGCGACCACGCTGGGCTGGGGGCCCTCAGCAAGGTGAGATTCAGCATCAACACCTGCCCCGTCCCTCTGGGAGACGAGGTGGGGGGGTTGTCCAATTTCCATGTCACCCAAAGAAGCCCCCCTTCAGAAAGGCACATACCTGCCCAGGCTTGGAAGAAGCCAGAGCTCTGGCTTCTTCCCACCCCACCAAGGCACTCAGCAGCTAAATGTGACCTTGGCTTACCAAAATTTTAAAGACAAGGGGAAAATAGAAGGGAAAATTTTGGGGTTTTTTTTTTTCCCCTGTTTTGATCCTTTTGAGGCACAAAATGCACAGGTTTCTCTCAGAACAAAGGGATAGCACTGAATAATGCAAACATTTTAGCATCAGGCCAAGTCCTCAGAAGTAATAAAGTTTAGTGCTTACAGGTTAAAAGGCTACTCAAGGTATTACAGATACTACACATGGCCAGTTACTTTGAAAATACACTATTAATATTATTGGCTAATATTAATATTATGTGAATTGACAGTAGCATGCAGGTGACAGAAAAGGGTATAAGAAAAATTAGGGTAAAACTCACATCTGGGTGTGGAATAGCGTATTGTCCCTGAATTGTATAGGCCTGTAAAGGAAAAGCAAAGATGTTACTAGGGCTGGCAGGACATGAGGAGAGAACTCCATCCCTCTGTTGGGACCCACTGTATCACATTAAATTCCCTGGGGCACCAAATCCTTGGGGCAGGAGAGAGATGTTCCACCTCCCATTCAACCTAGAGCATGCTGAGCTATCTGACTTCAAGGGCTCAGGCTCAGTTCGGCTTTTTCAGAGGGAAAGAAACAGCTCTTTATAGGTGCCAGCATTGCATGGAGCAGGAATATCAGGCTGTGGCTGGTCTTTGCTGTACAAAAAATAAGGATCAGTTGCACGGGGGTTAAAAGTGGACGATCTTTAGTGCCCCTCTAACAACCAGAACCTGTGTAGCAGGTGCACAGTGACATCGCTGCCCAAGCGTGATCCCAAAAAGCAAGCCAGCTCCGTGAGCCTCTCCATATTTCCAGGTGCACAAGTCCCAGTGGATGCTTTACATCCACCCAGTATATTCCAGTGCTCTGCTGGGGCATTGGAAAGGCATGGAGGCGAGGGCAGCCTGCACTGCAATGCCTTTCACCAGCTGTAATTGATAAATCCATGCAAGTATCTGCCAGGCAAATGGGTTTGTGTGTTTTTCCCATCCTTTATAGCAATCCTTTCTCTTTTTGTTTGTAAATAACCTCAAAATAAGTACCAGTGTGGGTGAAGAGCCAGACACTAGAGAGCCCAATATTTAGGACTTAACCAGTCTTAACTAGCAAAATATATCTCAATTGTTGACACATTATTCAGATGATTCTAAAAGAAATGGCAAAAGAGATGGAGAACACTTTGAAAAGGGAGAGTAAAGATTGCCAAGAAAAATGAAAGGAAAAAACTTTGGAACCACCTGCAAATTTGCTGCACTGTTTGCAAAGAGCAAAGTGCTTTGTGTAAAGAAAACCCCCAAAATCATGCAGGAGGAAAAGGGAAAATGGCTGTCCCAGTGCCCACCAGCAACCCAGCACAACGGGGACGCGACAGAGGCTGAAAAGTTGCCTGTCCTGGTGGTTTAATTTGGCCATTGGTTTTTGATTAGAAAAACTGAGTCGAAAAAGGTAATCAAGGGCAGGAAGGTGTCTTGGACAGATGCAACTCAACTCTGACCTTTGAGGGCTGGTCCCTTTGGCAGCAGCCGTTGGCTGCTACATCACTCAGCCTGCTGAGCTCCTGGAGGCTCATCCCACCCCAAACACCTGCCACCAGCTGTCACCAGCTGTCCTTGACCCACCCGCCCCGTGCCACCCCTCGACAGAGCCAAAGGGCTCCCAACATTGGGAAGAACTCTCACTTCAGAGACAGTTGCTTCCTCCCATGATGTTACTTCTGTCCAAGAAACCAGCCATTCACAGCAGAAGAACTGCTGCCTCCATCTCACTCTCCCTTTTGAACAGACCAGGCAGCTGGACTCGAAGTTCTTTTCCAGGACGGCTGCTCAGATGGAGTGACATACTCCTGATCCCAATGATTGACTAATTCAGCCTAAAATAGCCTGTGCTCTGGGCTCTGCTCCTGTTCTTAGTTTGTCCTTCTATTTATTATGATTGGAGAGAAATTAAGTGACTTGTGTGGAGCTGCTCTGGGTGGCATAAGCTGTGGTTTTGTGGTGCTGGCCCTGCCTGGATGCTGGAGCTCTTGGGAAGGTACATCCCCTGCTGGATGTCATGCACCTCAGCAGAGTGGGATCTACAGGCAGGCCCTCAGTCACCAGGTGAGGTGATGAGATGAGGTGGAGAAAGCAACAGTGCAAGTTCCCTCTTTAGAAACAGCCATGTGCTCAGTTGCTCTTGTTTCTGCTGATTTTTGTTTTCGGAATAACCTCCAGCTCACCCGTGTGATGGTCATCCCACAAAGGAAAAACCACCCCAAAGCTCATGGCTGGAAATAGCACGAGATGTCTGCAAGGCTGCAGTGTCACTGGGGTGACACAGTGCAGGCTCTGGCACAGGGGGAAGCAATACCCCAAACCAGCTGAGCGCCAAGGAAGGGGGACACGGCTCTCCCATGGTGGCTGCCCTGAACAGAGAAGGAGCTGTGACAAGCCCTTCCTACGATGGATCAATTACAGCTACACAAAGGTATCTCTAATTGAGCTGGAGGTGCCAGACAGCAGCGACATCCTCTTGTTCAACAATGCTTTCCTAATCCTCTCCTTCTCAACCACTGACAAATACTGAACTTGGGTCTGGTGAAGTAAATTCTAGCCTTTCCTTTGTGTCTCCCCAGGCTGGCTGTTCCCTTCTGCTCATTGTCCAGCATCCATCACAGGAGCTAAGCCAAGAGCTTTCAGTCCAGCTGCCATGGCACACAATGGATGGGATGACACCATGCAAGTCAGAAGGCAAGAAACCTGAGTGCACTAACGGGCAGCGGCTGGTGCTGCAGTAAAAGGCTGAGGTTGGCAGTGGAGGCTGCAAGCGGGTCGGCTCTTACCTGACCACCTGCAAAAATGACAGGGGTGGAGGCGGGCTTTGGGCGGTAGGGAATGGTGGCACCTTTTGGTGGGGACTAGGAAAAGGGATAAGGAGAGGGAGAGAGAACATTAGAACAGCTTTCCTGAAACGGCGGCAAAAAGAGTGTTAGAAAGCACCTAACGGAGCACGGCCCCCGGGGCCGCCACGGCAACACCCGCACCAGGCAACACCGCGTTTCTGGACAGGAGCACACGGGGGAAAGAGGGGTTCCATGGGCAACAAGGACAACTGGGGCATGGGAGATCCCCTGCCAAGGAATGGGCCCCTAAATGGCCTCCTGGACCTCCGCTGCCTGCCTCAGCTTTGCTCTGCTCTGCTCTGCGCAAACCGCATCGCCTGCTCCAGGCTCTGGGAATCCTCCTCAGAATGCCCTGAGGAGAGCCTCAAACAGCAAGATGGGGAGGTACAGCCCATCTGAGCAACCCAGCACCAGGCTCAAGCTCTTTGGCTGCCCTCATCTTCCTCACCGCCTGAAAAGGGTCACCTTCAGGCCTTGGTGCGGTCATCGCCATCTGAGCTGTGACGTGGGTGCTGCAAGGCACCTGTGGTCAGCTGAGAGGTGTCCCTGCAGATGGCCTTTAAGGTCCTTTCCAACCCACACATTCTGTGATTCCATGATTCAGTGGTCTTGCTGCTCTGTCTCCTCCCTGGGTAGGTCTGAGCAGAGCTGCAGTGAACGAGCTGCAGGTGTGATGCGCAGGAGCTGCTCACCCAGGTTCTTCCTCTGGTTTTCTCCTGAACAACTCACGGGCTATAGGAAACATGGAAGTTTCTAGGGATCAGGAGAGATTTCAGCTCTCTTCTTCCTTTCTACCCAAAATTAAAACAACTCAGTGACTGCTATATAAGGACAGGCAATAGAAATTACACTATCTCATGGAAAAAAAAAATTCCTGTACATTCTTTGGATATCCACTTGTAGGAAAGCAACATTATCTAAATCCTGCTGCTAAGCACCTCTCTGTGGGAAAGCTGATCAAAGTACATCTCTAGCATCCCAAACCCACTTGTTCTTTTATTGCATTACAAATCTTGGAGGGGACGAGATGGGATTATCTGTTTAAGACTGAAAGGTGATATGGAACATCTCTATGAGCCATTAAAGCCAGGGCACTTTCCAGATTTCAGACTGCAAGAAGACTTGTGGGTTTTTCTCTTTCCTCTCTGTACAGAGGAGCAGCTCATCTTGCTTTGTGAGAAAAACTTTTTAATACCCCTGGCAAGCATCCCCTCAGGCTCATCTCTACTGCAGTCTGATGATGACCCAGATGTCATTGGGTGCTGCAGTCTGCGACCTGGTCATCCGAAATTCCTACGGCAGCAGTGCAGCTGCCTGAGCATCACAGCCAGCAGGGATGGGAAATGTGGCTCCCGGCTATCCCTGCTGAGATGTGCTGCTGCCAAGCTGGAGATGCTTCCATCTGGCTTTGCATCACCTTCACCAAGCCTTGCCATCCACATCTGAAGCTTTTCCAGTGGGGAACAATGCAAGAGCGCCTCACATTGGTCCTTGTTTTGTCTGTCTCTGGGATGCACCAGGAGTGGAATATGTCACCATCCTGTGTCCCAGGGGCTTTCCTCCTGGAGCTTCTCTCATCTGAGGTGGCAGGTGTGGACATGAGGCATGTGGCTGAGGTCATCTCCAGCAACTGGTACAGCAGCATTTCTCCACGGCAGAGATCTTCCAGCTCCGCTTGTCACCATTTATCCCAGAAAAGGGCACCTTGGACATATATCCATGTGCCCTACAGTCCCTGCTCTCCACCAGCCTTCCTCACTACCATTCCCACTGTACCTCACTGGAACACAGCCTTGTGCTCCCAGTTGCAGTCCCCCAGTGCAGGGGATGCTCTGGCCTCCTCCTCCTGGTTGTGGTCCTTGTGAGGCAGAGACCAGGTTCTTGGAGCAGTGTCTGTAGCCCCCATATCCTTCTCACAGCACCCTGAGTGCTGCTGGGACGCCAGGCCAGGCTGTCCCAGCTTGCTGGCACCCCTCTGCCCTAAAGCCACCCCCTGCTCTGACACAAACCACCTCCTTTGGGGCACCCAACCAGACAGGCTTCCAGTGTGGGACTCTAGAAACTACGGACAATGGTGGGGAAAAGACACGGGGTGTATTTCCAGCAGAGGTACCAGGAAATGAGAGTGGTCTGACAACGCGAGGTGAAGGGGACAAGAGAGACATGCTCTACAGCTCCCAGCACTCTGGTGGGGCCAGCTGGGATTTTTTTTCCATATGTACTTTACCCTCTTTGTTACAGACTGTACCTCCAGCATCACCACACAGATCTGTTTGACACACTGAATAATTGCGTCGGGGGTCCCCGAGATTGTCACCGCCCGCTCCGTGGAGTTGGGCAGCATGTCCCCCGCCACTTGGACCTGAGCACCTGTGGACTGGAGACAGAAAGAGAGAGGAAGGAGAAATCCCACAGCTGAACACCTTCACTCAGAGCCAGCTCCAGCCCTGACATCATGCGCCTCCCAAGGGCCCGGCACGGGGCATCCCGTGGGATGCTGCTCCTACATCAGCCACACCATCCCGGGAAGCAATGTGATCTGCGATGCAGCACAGGGATCCCCTTTTCCAAGGCAGCTCCTCCTTGGATGCCGATCAGCTCCGAGGAGCTGCACTGAAGGGCAATAATGAAATAGAATCTGCCTTACCTCTCGGATTTCCTTGATCTTGGAGCCCCCCTTGCCGATGAGCGACCCGCACTGACTCGCTGGCACCACCAGCCGCAGTGTCACTGGAGGCTTGCTGGTAGCGGTGCTGTTGCTCATGGAGTTGGTTATGTCCTTGGGAAGGAAAAGTGCAGCACATCAGCCCTTGGTACCTGACCAGAGCCACCTCCAGTGCCCAGGTGGCACGTCTACACACATTGTGGTCAGGTGACTAAAGTGTTCCCTCTTGAACACTTCCAGGGATGGTGACCACTACTGCCCTGGGCAGCCTGTTCCCAGGCCTGACAGACCTTCCAGTGATCTTCCCTAATATCTTCCCTAATATCCAACCCAAACCTGAGGTTATTTCCTCTGGTCCTGTCACTTGTTACCTGGGAGAAAAGACCAACCCCTAAATGGCTACACTCTCCTTCCAAGTAGTTGTAGAGAGTGAGAAGATCCCCCCGGAGCCTCCTTTTCTCCAGGCTGAGTCTCCCAGCCCCCTGAGCTACTCTGCATCAGACTTGTGCTCCAGACCCACCCTACTCAGAGATGTGTGAAAGGTTCTGTGCTGAGGCCAAGTCCCAGTTAGTAAAACCCAAGCAGGCACTGCTGTCCCCAGCCACGGGCTGCCTCACATTTCTCACCTCCTCAAATTTGTAGGCGATCATGGCAAAAGCCTTGAAGATGGCATCGGTGGGGCCAGTGATGGTCACAATCCGCTCAGGGCAGTTCCCCTCCGAGATGTTGATCCTTGCCCCGCTCTGGAAAGAGAAGAGGAGTCCTGGAATAGCCACGGCCAAGCAGGTTGGGTCCTCTCTCAGCCTGATACCTGTGCCAGCCTCACAGCATTCCAGCTACCCTTCCCAACTCACACCCCTTCTCTGCAGTGATTTCAGCCCTGCCTTACCCCAACCTTTAGAAAGGGTTTCCAATGTTTTATCGCAAAGCAAACCCATGGAATCGAGGTAAGACCAGCTCAGTTTTTCTCACTGTCCTGACAACTCCCCGGGAGCTGCAGGCACAAAGACCCTGGAAAAACTCAAAGCACCTTACAAGTGACTTAATTTCAACATTTCATTAAATACATGACTGGAAAATGTGACAGGAGTTTGAGTGTGAAGGGAAAAAACCTGGTCCAAAGAGCTCTGGAGACAGCTGGCTTGCTTGTCCTGACCCTGGGAATTACTGCACATATCACACAGGGCAATATGCAGCTCTGGCCACTCTGCACTCCCTTTCTCCTACAAATCATCCACAGAGCAGGCTGCTCACCTCCTCACGCATCTTCTTCACGGTCTCTCCTTTCTGAAACAAGAGGGAAAACCAAGCCATTACTGAAAATTCACCACTTCTACCTTTAAAACAACCCTACCAAAAATGCATCTCCCTAATACATGCCAAGGTGTAGCCAAACACATGGGGGCTGTGATGTCTGGCCCTGCATTCACACGTGACGGTCAGCTGAAGAGCTGAGCATGTAAATGATCAAATATGTATATACAAATTCACAACTGTGAATCTTCCCAGAGTTGGACACGCTGATGGAAAAATAAGGCACAAGCATACAGGGAAACGTGTTCATGCTGAAAATGTTTGCCACCATAAACCTTTCTTTTAAAACCACCCAAAAAACCCCCTAATCCTGTATAGCCAGGACCTTCCAAAACACTGTGGAAACACCAGAGCAACTCAGGAAGCTTTTTTGGACAAGGTAAATGGAGTCCTCTGGCCTCAGAGACAGGGGCTATAGAATTACTTAAAATATAATTTAAATGTATCTGTGTGACATTTTTAGTATCTCTTAATGAAGTTATTTGATGAAAACACCAGAGCAACATGACTGTAAACTCCCCGCCATCACCCAGTGAAGCAGCTGGAAACAGGTGAGTTTGGTGACGTTTGGTGGCAATGGTCTTTTGGTGGTTGGTGAGGTTTTTAGGGGAATGGTCTTTTGACCCCTTTGTGGGTTTCTCCTAATTTCTGGCCCACAAATGCAGCACCTAGCTCAGGCACCCAATACTTTTCAGGACATCACAGGGAAGAGGTGACTGTGGCATATGCCACACCACAGGTGCAGGAACAGCATCAAAGGTACATTAAAAGGCATCCTTACCTTCCCAATGATGCTTCCAACTTCCTACACAGAGAAAAAGCCAAAACCAGAGGAACTGACATTAGAAAACGTGATGAGAATCCAACCCAACCCCATAACCAAGTGAAGACCTGGTGGACATAATTCCCAGCAGAGGGACAGGGTTGAGGGGCAGGAACGAGAGGGAGCGGGAGCACCATGCCGCCCTCCCCACCGGCAGGACAGCTATTCCTGGGGCTGGGACAGCTAGACAGAGCTGTGTGTGGGGCTGGGCAGGTGGGACAGGGACCTGTGAAGACACCCCCACTGCGGGAGCCCCTTACCTTGCCGTGCATCAGCAGCCGGATGGTGAGGGTGACGTTGAGGCCGCCCTCGGAGACCTTGGACTCCATTTCCTACCGGGAACGGGAGACGTGCGCTAGCTGGGAGAGCAGCCCGGCACAGGCAGCACCTTGGCGGGATCACCTGGGACACAGCAGGGAAGGCTGGCTCTCAGAATGAGCTCCTGGGGGTGGGACAGACCCCACAGAGTAGCTAAAAAACAACTCTGGAGCCGGGCATCAGATGAGCAGCCTGGCCAAGGGCCAGCGGCTGCAGTGGGGCTTTAAAGCGACCACAGCACCTGTCTAGCAAACCAAAGTTCACCATTTCCAGCATAAAGAAAACCACAAGGCACCTTTGCTGTGGTCAGGATTGTCCATCTGACTCCAGGAGCACTGAATGGGAAGGACAGAACTGGCATCCTGGTTGCCACGCATTCTGACCTGAGAGCTCCCAGCTAGGCAGACTGTGGACCACACCCCTTCCAGCCACTCATGTCACAAATATCTAAGGAAACCATGCTGTTTTCCTTTTCCATTTTCTCTCTTTCCTCCTCTGCCCTCTAGAGGGTCACTGGTGTTTTGAAGTCAAGAGGGTGAAATAAATAAAAACCACAGAATGGCAACAAATCCTTCATTTTTCACGCCTGATGCCTCTTTAGGAGCATCTCTGCATGAGGACGTGGCATATGAAATGTCCCTGCAGCCCACTGCATGGGGAGAGCAGTCCCATCCCAGAGGGAGGTGCCAGCATTCTTCTACATGCAGTGCTGAGGGATACAGAGCAATCCTCCCTCACGTTATTTAATCCCTCAGTCTGTATCAGATGGGAGACTTTTCATCCTGCTCGCAAGCATCTGGCATTTCCCTTTGCTCAGACAGGGACTTATGTGAGCAAAAACAGCAGAAGATAAACAAGTTCTCAAGTACTGCTTTAATGCAAGTCAGGATGAATAAACAGCAGCAATGCACAGACCGTGGCTGGGATATGGGTTTGATGCAAAACCTCTTCCCAGAGGTTATTATGAAACCCAAAATGGATAAACCCACGTGGTTTGCAGGGGGATAGAATTCCCTGAAGCTAAAGGACACTGGCTCACTGGGAATGAGGCTGCTTATGACCTACATGCAAACATGGGGCTTGAGGCTGCTGCATCTTACAAATGGAAAAAAAAAGATGGAATCTTCACAAGAAGGATAAGAAATGAAATGTGCTCAACACCAAAACAGATTCACTGGCACAGGCTGCCCAGAGAGGCTGTGGGGTCCCGATCCCTGACAGTGTCCAAGGCCAGGCTGGACAGGGCTTGGAGCAACCTGGGAGAGTGGAAGGTGTCCCTCCCCATGGCGGGGGTGAAATGAGATGAGCTTTAAGGTCCCTTCCAACCCAAACCATCTGGTTCTATGTCAAGACAAAAGGTGCTTTTAAGGGTGGGGAGAAGGAGAATATTTCCAAGGAAAAAGGCGATGACATTGGAGACTAAAGTAACAGGAATGGGCTGAGAGACTGTAACAGAACAGGCAAGATCAGGAATTTTCAGGACTGAGCCTACTGTAAGATGTACAATGAAGGAAAATAGTAACTGGCTGTGTTGATTAACCCCAGGCTGTGTTGGTTAACCCCAGTCCGACTCCTGTGCATGGGGGGCAGTGCCAGAAAAGGTCAATAAACAGACAGGTGGAGGTCAGCATTTCCAGTGCTCACAATGCACCAGGAGACAAACTCCTAACCAGAGACATCACAGAATCATAAAATGGTTTGGGTTGGAAGGGAACTTAAGATATCCCATTCCACTCCCCTGCCATGGGCAGCGACACCTTCCACTATCCAAGGCTGCTCCAAGCCCTGGAGTCCAACCTCGCCTTGGACACTTCGAGGGATCCAGCTTCTCCAGGCACCCTGTGCCAGGGCCTCTCCACCCTCACAAGGAAGAATTCCTTCCTAAAATCTCATCTAATCCTCCCGTCTTTCAGTCCAAAGCCATTCGCCCTGGTCCTGTGGCAGGGAGGGTGTTTGTCATCCCCAGCTCCACATCCTTTGCAGGAGGAACCCTGCATCAGGCTGTTACGTAAATGCTTCCAATTGATTGAAAAAGTGGGTCATGTGTTAGCCAAATGCTCCTGGCTTTAAGATTTATCAGCATTATTAAATTAAACACGCTTCATGCTCCAGTGAGCGGGAAAGCTATATTGGCCTTTTCTTAATCATACTAGTGAAAGGTAAGTGTTTTATAGGGGGCTCATGGGCTCAATGGAAGGCATGGCAACAATAGATCCGAAGCATTTACTCTGGGCACAGGCCTCCCCCAACAGCCCTCATTCTACATGGACAAAGGGCTGGGAAAATTATCCCCCAGAATGTCATTTTGGGCATTTCAGAGCATTCCCTGCCTGGAGAGAACAATCTCAGCCCCCTTCCTCTCCACCATCGTGTTCTGCCTTGTTCACCACAGCTCTGAAATGGCTCCTTTGTCCCCCACTTGAAAGCCCCGAGGACACCATTACATGCAGCCCAATGGACAGAGGAGACACAGAGCCCTGCTCCAGCCCAGTGCCAAGCAGGTGCAGCCCCACAGAGGTCAAAGACATGGAATTGGGAGACAGAAGTGTCAGGCTAGGCCCCAGAAGGGAAGTTGCACAGTGAGTCAAGCGAGGCTCTGCCAAGCATCACACCTGGGCAACCACAGGTGGAGGACTGGAGCATCTTTCTTCCATGTATGAGGAGCAGCCAAAAGGTTTTGCACCACAACAAGGGGAGATCTGCCCCAAAGCAGGACAATGTACTTCCAAAGGATGATCCCATGCCACAGTAAAGAGGCCTGTTAATTGCAGCTGCCTTTGCAAAAGCGCCTAGAGAAGACATCATCAGTTCTCAGAGCAATCTGGTTCTTCCTTGGTTCAAATATTTTAAATTCTGGGAAATTTCCTTAATCTATCAGGAAACCCCTATGTCTGAAAAAGCAACTCAGGAATCCAAGAACAAGGCATAGGAGGGAAAATGAGAGCCCAGACCAGCAGGAAGACTCCTCTTCCCCACGTGCAAACGTACGCATTCCCATTTTTCTCTTTTCTCATTTTTTAGAGAATTTGGAATAAGTGCCTCAGCTGGGGCTCTTGTGTTTATGCTTGCTGATACTTCACAAATACCAAGACATCCCTAAAATAGGAGCAATTCCCTTCCAATTAGGGGAAATCTGAACATTCTGTTTTGAATTAATTTAATAACACAATCATTACAATCATCATGCAGGAGGAGGCACATGAAGCAGAACAGGAGAAGGGAAATGGAGCTCTGGGCTGGATGTTGCTCTCCAGCCTAGCTTCCATACAGGAGCTGGAAAAAGCAGATGCTGGGATCCTGGGAATCATGCCTCTGATATCCTATCAGGGATGCTATCCCTGATGGCAGGAGGCTCAGCTGAGCTTGAGTAGAGCCCAAATCCCTACAGGGGGGCTGGGGGACATTGCTGGCTCTGTGCTTGCTGAAGCCAGCCCTTGTCCCCCACTTCCTCTTCCTCCTGCCATGCATTCCTAGGGCTCGCTGGGTGCACGAGTCCCATGCAAGCAACCTTTGCTTCCTAGAGTTGTTTTTGGGGGGCACAGGAATGTTTTGCTCAAGCTGTCCAAAAACAAACAGAGAGGACAACTCTGTGCAAAGATGCCCCACTGGCATAACTCACCCCCTCCCTGAAACATTTGAGTGGAAAGTTCACAGGCACCACCAAGCCAATGCAAAGGAAAAAGTCTCCATCACCCTCCCACACCCATCACAGGGCCTCTAGAAAATCCCACTTTCTTGTAGGCATATCACAAAATCACAAAATGGTTTGGGTTGGAAGGGACCTTAATGCTTATCTTGTTCCCCCCCCCACTATGGGCAGGGACACTCTCCACTATCCCAGGCTGCTCCAAGCCCTGTCCAACCTGGCCTTGGAACTCCCAGGGATGGGGCAGCCACAGGTTCTCCTGGTCAGTGTGCAGGCTGATAAAATCCAACACCTCAGAGCCCTGCTGACCAAGAGCCCTTGATGAGCCGTGCAGGTAAAGAGCAGGGTGGGCAGGGCTTGGTCTGTGCAATCCCTGCTGTGCCGCCTTCCCGAAGGACTACACCCAAAACCCTGCCCTGGAGCATCTTGGGTGCTCAGTGGTAATGCCATCCTGGAAAACATCCGCCACACTTCCCAGACTCTCTGGTGTTTCACAAACCCCACCAGCACAGATGTTAAAGACAGCCACAAACCCTTGGCGTCCTCCAGCACACTGCAATGTCCCACAGCCAGGATTTCAAACAGAGGTGGCAGAATTTAGTGTTGGGAATTAACATCTGGGACAGAACATCCAACATTCAAGACAGCATTTTCCTCTGCGAGGGCGTCCTCACAAAACTCAGACCAGGGTTTTCTGACCCTTGGAAAACTATGGATGCGTTGAAAGCAGAGAAAAGCCAGAGAGGCCAGGAAAGAGGATGTTTTTCTGTGACATTTCAGGCTCTCTAGCCTGTTTTCTCAAGGAGGGCTGCCTGTCCATCTGCATAAGCAGAGGAGCTTTCTCCCCACTCATCTCCCGCTGACTTGATCTTGCCATTAAGACCTAATCCGGAGATTTCCAGCGCAGTGCTTTAGAGGCTGGGAAGCTCGGCAATGCAGCCAGCTCGGGATTATGACGACGGCACAGTCTGGCCAGGTCAAGACAGGCTTGGAAGGAGGAAAAACCTTAAACCACATGGAAATGCATCAGCCACCAACAAGCTTCAGCTGCTGGGAGATGAAGCTGTGGGAGGGCAGTAGCACCATCTACATGAGTGACGTCAAAAGCCACTTGGGAACAAAGATGCAATTCCAGCTGCTGCCATTTTCCACAGCTGTAGTCATTTCAGTTGACTTTTCCTCCTCTCCACTCTCCAGCTTTGGTGGAAACATTTTACCAAAAAGGATGCCCTGTGCCGTCCTAGTATGTCAGCCAGCAGGATATTCCTGCCTCTCCCCTGCCCATAACCATTAAAAGCAGCACAGGAGATGAACGTCCTGCTCTGGCCCCCACAGCAGGCATCTCTGGAGGCTTCTTTCTCAGTCACCTGCTCCCATTTCCCTGCTTCCCTCCAGCTGAGATCACAGCCTGACAGAATCATTTAGGTTGGAAAAGACC